TGTGTTTGACACATGTGGGTTAGAGGGTCAGCCCGCTGACTGAAGGGTCCTGGGTTTGACTCCATTCAAGGTTATATATAATACGTTGGTTGCAGGCTTGATACCCAGCCCTGGTCACAGCATGTGTGGGAGGCAGCCAATCAAAGCATCTCTCTCAGATCGATGTTTATCTCTCTCTCTCTGTCTCTCCCCCTCCCTTCTACTCTCTCTAAAAACCAATGGAAAAATCTCCTCAGGTTAGGATTAACAACAATAATAAAAGGGGAGCCGGACCCGGTTTGGCTCAGTGGATAGAGCGTCGGCCTGCGGACTGAAAGGTCCCGGGTTCGATTCCGGGCAAGGGCATGTACCTGGTTGCGGGCACATCCCCAGTGGGGGATGTGCAAGAGGCAGCTGATCGATGATTCTCTCTCATCGATGTTTCTAACTCTCTATCCTTCTCTCTTCCTCTCTGTAAAAAATCAATAAAATATAATAATATTAAAAAAAAAAAGGGGGGGGGGGGGAGCGGGAAGAGCTGCGGTAACGGGGGGCCTGCGTGGAGGAAGGCTCCACATGAGAGAGGGGAGCTTAGGTCAGCATGGCACCGGCCTGGGGGAGAAGAGGAGGTTTATGGGAAGTGAGAGGGCCGTGGAGCCGAGATGATTGTGGTAATACAAGCAGCAGCCACAGGAGACGTTTTTAGCTGCAAAATCCGACAGAAGAGGGGACAGGAAGGCAAAAGGACAAGCTGCGGTCAAAGACAAGAGAAGAGAATATTGTAATCTGCCTCTTCTCTTCAGCTAGAATCTGATCAGCTTCTCAGACACAGGGAGCTTTTGAAACTCAAATGCTTTTCATATGAACTGCTGATGAGAAGTAAAACTGCAAAGTGCTTTTATGGGGCTACAGGGATTTGATCTGAGAAGTTTCCTTAGCTTAGTTCTCTTTGAAAACCAAAGGCCAAAGCCAGTGTGAAAACTCTCAGTATTCTAGAAGGCGCAGGCTCAGACTGGAAGGACGCCTGAGAGGTCACAGGCCCCTCTCCTGGCCTTGAGGCTAAAACACACGCCGAAGTCGTGCTAGACCAAGGAGCCTGCGCAAGGCTGTCCAGGCGCCTTCGGAAAGGCCTGTGCGGGGCCCCGGCTCCCGGAGCCGGTTCGCTGGTGATGTGATGGTCTGGGAGCCATCACAGATTGCTTACAGGGAGCGGAAGTCTGTTTTCTGAGAAGCTGGAAACACCAGGCCACCAGCACTTCCACAGAACAGCCTGTAGAAACAGAGACACGCCACAAACCTCCCCTCCTCCAAAGACAGGCCCTCAGGGCGCCCCACAATGGCTGCGGACAGTGTCCTGTCGCGTCAGACTCGCCTCACATCTCAGAACAGTGGCTGTCCACGCACTGAGGGCTGTGGGTTTGATTCGCAGTCAGGGCACATACCCAAGTTGCAGGTTTGATCCCCAGTTGGGATGCATATAGGAGACAACTGATTGAGATTTCTCTCTCTCTCTTTCTCCCTCTAAAATCAGTTTTATAAACAAGTAACCATACCACAAAATACATAAAACATCTGAGTAACGGTCTTTCCAGTTCCCAAGGGTATGAGGTGCCTCAAAGCAGCAAAGCAACGTAGGTAAGAGCACAGATGGAGAACGTCAAACAGACCTAGATTTCTTTAGCCGGTGTTCTTAAAATCAAATTATTATGAAAAAATTTAAATATATCCAAAAGCAAATAATATAATGAACCCCATATATCCATTACTCATGTTTAATAATGATCTACTCATGGCCCATCTTAGCTTACCAAAACCCTATCTACCTCTTTCCTCCAGTATAATTTTTTTTTATATATATTTTGTACAGAGAGGAAGGGAGAGAGATAGTTAGAAACATCGATGAGAGAGCGTCATCGATCAGCTGCCTCTTGCACACCCCCTACTGGGGATGTGCCCGCAACCAAGGTACATGCCCTTGACCGGAATCGAACCCGGGACCCTTCAGTCCCCAAGCTGAGGCTCTATCCATTGAGCCAAACCGGTCTCGGCGTAATTTTTAAAATAATATTTAATAATATTTTTATTATTAAGAGAGAAAGGGTGAGGGAGAGAGCGATAGAAAATCAATGATAAGAGAGAATCATTGATCAGCTGCTTCCTGAACACCCCACACTGGGGACGGAGCCCTCAAACCAGGCCTGTGCCACTGAGCCGCGCCGGCCCTCCAGTATAATTTTGAAGCAAATCCCAGATCACACATCATTTCAGTTGTATTTCAGGTTGTATCCCCATAAAGCAAGAACTCTTAAAACCAACCTATCATACCAAAATCACACCTGAAAACACACAAACAAGAAGAAGGAAGCAAGCCCTGGCTCTGACTCCTGATGTCGCCTGGTTAAGTGTGTGCTCTGGGCAGATACGGAGGAGAAAACCCCTAAACCCCTAGCGTTCTGCTGGCGGTAGCCTGCCTCGCCGATCTAACTCTGATTTGAAAGCCCTGCCGCAGCCGCCTCACGCATCTGCCGACTCCGGCAGACAGCACAGCAGAGTAGCGTTGGGTTGTGGTCCTCACCCCGACCTCAGAGGCCTGGGCTTAGTTTCTCAGCACTGCTCTTCTGAGTTACCAAGGTGATTCCGAGACTGTCTTCTCGATGGACATGAGCACATAAGCAGACAGAGAGGACATGGCTGCCAGTTGGTTTCCAAAGAGTTGGCAGGGCCGGGCTGGCGCGGCTCACTGGATTGAGCGTTGTCCCGTGCACCAAGAGATCGCCGGTTTGATTCCCAATCAGGACACATGCCCGAGTTGTAGGCTCAATCCCCAGTGAGGGGCGTGCAGGAGGCAGCCAGTGGATGTTTCTCTCTCTCTCCCTCTCCCTTCTCTCTGAAGTCAATAAAAACATAGTGAAAAAACAAGAGATGCAAGGCTGGGAGGTCAATCGCACTTAGAACAGTCCGCTGGCCACAGACAGAGGCACGCTTTCCTAACTGATCTGGGGGACGGTTGTGAGACTTATGGGGACTGGGAAGGTGACAAAGGCCTTTCTCATTCTCTGTATGCTGTGGGGAGGCCACTGAGGAGTAAAAGGCTATTGACATTTCTCAGCCACCACAGAGAATCGGGAAATGACCTTGAATTCAACAGTAAACACAAAGAGTTCCCCCAGCGGCTGCGTTAGCCTAGGCTTCTCTCTGATTCTGCGCGATGGTCTCTGAACGTTCATTCCTCTTCGCTACAGCCTCCCTTGCCCGCATTCTTCCTCCCTGACACAGGCACCCATGGGGATAGAGGGTGTTTTCATGCTTCTGTCATCACCATGGCAACGGCTCCTCTTCTCCCTGGAAGGCTGGAAGCCCTGCAGTGCTCTATGCTGAGAATGCAAAGAGGGAACACTCTTGCTCTGTACTCCATCATGTATGCGCGCACACACATTCCTTCTTCAAGGACATCGCAATGAGAATCACTAAAAAAATGAAGATGCTGACACGTGCTAACGTGAAATTAGTGTAAAGACAAAAAGGAGGCAAATGGCTATAAAAAGATATTTTGTAGATAGCAATTCTTGAGGTTTTTTAACATGAGATTTCTGAAGACTTTAAATCAAAATGCACTTGTCCTTTGATGAGGCCACAGACACAGAAAAATAACATCAGGTTATTTTAGCAAAACATATAAAAGCACTCAACAAGTAATGTGTGGTTCCAGAAGTGGAGGCACTCAAAGCTTATTTACGACCTTTACGGTTTGTGAACAGTGTTAGGCTGTGATGAGACTGATATATCGTGGCCACAAAAACCATGGGACATGGTCAGACTTCTACTTTAATAAAGTGACATGTTCTTTCTCTACAAGGACAGCCCAAGGTACAGCTCCTCCGCCAGGCCTGCCTGCTGCACGGGAGTGGGTGGCGTGGTCAGGACGCAAAGGTTAGTGCCCTCCCAAGACAAAAACAATCACCAATGAGTCATTAAGACAAACCTGGGTTTTTAATCTTCATTTTGCAACCAATTCTGAGCTCGCCAGCAAAAAACGTTTCTGTTCCTAGGCCCTTTCTACATCTCTTTGAACAGCATTCCTTGGGATACTGATACTTTTGGATACAGATTAAAGAAAAAAAAAATCATCAATGGAAACCCAGAGAGGAGGGGGCAGAGAAGTGCTGTAAACCAGGCAATTGAGACTTTGGAGGGCAAACCCACAGGCAGCCGTCTTCAGGACACAGCTCTCCGCAGGGCAGCACAGGGGCCCTCTCTGACCTTGACAATGTGGGCTACAGTGAGAGCAATGATTTCTTACAGAACATATTAACTAGCAAAAAAAAATTCACCCCTTTTACATTATAACATGCTAGTAAGAAATGAGTTGTGTGGGTTTTTTTTTTAATAATTTTTTTGTTGTTGACTTCAGAAAGGGAGAAGGGGAGATAGAAACATCAATGATGAGAATCATTAATTGCTGCAGTCAACCTCTGAGAGTTTCAAGGGCAGGGCCCTCAGGAGGCGCAGGCACAGCGGTCAGCAGAGCCCCACTCAGTCTCCCGGCCTCTTCCAAGGCAGGCCCAGGGAGAGAGGCGGCTGTTCCACCATTCCCTGCCCAAGTCAAGGGACAAAGTGGATGAAATACGGGAATAAAACGATTTCTGTGGGGCTGATCAGAAACAAAAACAAATGTTTTATGCAGATTGGCATTTTAGTTTAACACGTGTACATTTTCACTTTTCCCTATTTTGGGTAGATGTTTATCTCCTTTTAAAATAAGCACTGCAAACAACGGCAGATAGAGCACTTATTTGGCTTTTACTGGAAAGGGAGGGTGGGGAGAGAGGTAAGCAGTATTTGTCTCTGTTGCTTTTATTCTTTTTTTTTTTTTTTTTTTAATATATTTTATTGATTTTTTACAGAGAGGAAGGGAGAAAGAGAGTTAGAGATAGAGAGTCAGAAACATCGAGGAGAGAGAAACATCGACCAGCTGCCTCCTGCACACCCCCTACTGGGGATGTGCCCGCAACCAACGTACATGCCCTTGCCGGGAATCGAACCCGGGACCTTCCAGTCCGCAGCCCGACGCTCTACCGCTGAGCCACACTGGTCCGGCTGTTGCTTTTATTCTTCAGAGCAGCTCACAAACGCACCCCGCCGAGAGCCAGGCTCTCCAGCCACAGCGCAGGCCGTGTGGAGCGTCAGGGAAGGGAGCGGGTGTGATCATCAGCCCGGATCTCTAAAAACTGCGGAGGCCTCTGGGGACAGATTCACTATGCTGCTTGCTGTGGGACCTTAAAGATGGAAACTGACAAAAATGGAGTTAAACACTGAAAGCTCACGGCTATGATGCCAGCTCTACTCCGAGCTTGGTGGAGGGCGGCTCACGGGGATGGTTTGGGATCCACTCTGGAATTATGTTGGGGTGGGGAGCTGTCCCTTGGGGTTTTAGCCCCCAGTTTGCTATCACCCGATTTCACACGTCAGTGTCCACTTCACAGGGAAGGGCTCTGCAAGGCACTGGTGAATATCATTGCGGTCTGAGGCCTTAAGCTTTCAGCCCAAACCCCCAGGCTCGGAAGGAAGCACCCCCAGCAAGAGAGAAGCAGGGCAGGCTGACTGTCAGGAAGGACCCTCCCCCACGTCTTCTGTGGACTTCATTGTGCACCATGGACTTCCACACCAGCAAATAAATGAGCCCTGGTTTGGGGACTTAAAACTCCCTTTGTTACCTAGACATTTAGTTCTTGTCAACGTTACTTCCTGAATAAAGGTCTTCCCTGAGAGCAGAACAAGAGGATCCAGCTTCATTCGTATCTAGATCAATGTCAAGTCCTGTGCTCTGCACAGGAGTCAGCTGACTGGCTGGGCCTCAAATCCTAGCGCTGCTCCTCAGTGCCAGCCTCCACAGCCACAGCTGGAGCCGCCCTGGCACTGCAGCTGGTCCCGCCTCATTCACATTCTTTTCACGCGGCCACCCAGCTCCTGGCGGGGCTGCAGATGCCTGTTTTATAAACTGCAGATGGGAATTCAGTTATATTCCCCTTCCCTGGCGTCAGGAACACTGAGTGTGACAAAGGACAGGAAGGTTCTGGAAAGGGGGTGAAGGATGAGTGGGGAGAGAGTTGGTGGGTGAGATGGATACATTAAACAATATAGATTCACACCCGGAAGAGGAGTGGTTACACCGGCACAAACTCAGGCTCCCCACCAGGGGGAACTCGGTGCTCTTCAGGTCCCCTCCTCCGTCTCACACCTGCTACCCCTCTTCAGCCCTCGCCTCCCGAGTCCTCGTACACTTCCACCCAGTGGCCCTGGCGCCCTTTCTGGAAAGCTCTACTTTCTTATGGTGCAAAGTTATGGTTCTGGAAAAACAGAAAAGACTCAACCTGGAGATTTCTGGCCCTAAGAATATAAATAGTCCAGAAGCATTGCTTTCCGAGTTCCCTTTCTCCACCCGCAGTCCCAGCCCAACACATCCAATCCACGCCTAAGAGCAACACGCTGGGAACAAGCTGACGAATCCTTTTCCAGAGAACACAGGGCGGTGGGCCCTGAGGCTGTGACACAGACTCTCTCCTCATTTCCTCAGAGACAGGTCTTCAGGGATGCCAGAGGAATGACTGCAGACACCGAGCCCTCCTCCAGAGACTGTCTGAACAGAACGCCTCCTCTCAGAGGGACAAGTTCCTGGAAATGGAACTGGAGTCGGATTCCTGGCAAAATCCCTACATGAGGAAGCTGACGCCCTTAGTCTCACGTGGACCAGTCAGTTCCGGACAAACGGTTGGCTTAGGCACCTAACTGGAGAAAGGCTGTCATAGGAGAGTTTGGCTGAACACTGACATCGTTGACATTACATTCTGAATGTACCTAGTGGTTTGCTTTGGTGCTAAGCCTAAAAGAATTCTGTAAACGCTGCTTACAAGACAATGTTTCCTTGACACACACATTTTAAAATGCCCAAGAGAAAAACCTTTTCTCACGGAGCATCAGTGCCACCTAGTGGCAACTCCTTCCATAGCTCATAACAAGGAGCTGTGATTGCAAGCTCTCCACATTCAAAGGACAGGTGGACACTTCTCTGCGGCCTGCTGTCACGCTCAGGTTCCCAGGAGACACCGTTTCACTTTATTTCCCGTGGCGGCCATACACTAGGACACCTTCCCCCAACAGCAGAGATCAAGTCTAGAACGTGAACGGTGTTCCCACGGGCAAGCGTCTGGTTCTGAAGCGCACTGGGACGGACAGCGCCTTAACGACGGAAAACATTACTGAGAAATGTAAGATCTGAATAAATGTAAAAACATACTTTTAACGTAGACACCAAGACTCGATATTTTTAAGGTAACAATTTCCCTAAATTCATCTATAAATTTGGCGAGTGTCTAATTAAAATGCTACCAGCTGTTCTGATTCCTGGCTGGCCCGGCTCCAGCCCCTCTGCTTCCCCGGCTCCCTGCTGCTTCCTGGGCCTCTCTGCCTGCCCCTTCCAATGCTTTTCACTCCAGCCTGCAAAACCTTCCCCGGCCTCGTCTCTCCCCGTGTTCCTGACCCTACACTTACTACACACACACACACACACACACACACACACACACACACACACACACACACACCGGGAACGGGCTTCCCAGGCTGTTTGGCTAAGGACACTCCCTTTGCGGACACCCCTTGGCTTGGCGGTGATCACACTCCATTCTCTCCCCTCCGGGTATGCACAAAGAAGTCTCTGCCTAGAAAACCCCAAAAGTCCTTTAAAAGCCGCTGACTGCTCACTGGGTGCTGGGGCCACCCGGGCTCAGCCACCTGGTGTGCGGATGATTGAATTCCGAACTCCTCCCCACTCCGGCTTGTGCGGTCCTCCTTTGGCAGCCCAACATTTGGTGCCGAAAGCCAGGAGGGCTCCACAGGGATGGGAGCCATTGTCCCGCCTGCAGTCACCCGGGTGTGCTGCTCGTTCCGGGTCTCCGAATCCCACTTGGTGACTCCTGGGGGATCCTTCTCCATCGCTGAGCCCCCACCCGACCTTCTCCAGGCGAGCAACAGTCTCCCTTCTCTCGGGTGTCCTGCCCTCTCTCTCTGACTTCTCGGAAGTCTCTCGCTTGGGTCCTTCTGGACTGGGGAGGCCGTCCAGAGGGTCACTGCTCGTGGTGATGTGTTCAGCAGCAGGGACGCCTGCCCTGAAGAGTCCCCTTTGGATCTGTGTCTGTCCCTCCCCCTTCCTCTCTGTGAGGCCACCCACACGCCCTCGGCACACTCGTGGGGGAGATCACGCTCAACCACCTCACTTTCTTTTGTAACACTGGCCACAATGTAAGCTAGGTAATAGGTTTCCATGGCCTGAAAACAGCACTTTTAACACACCGAGCAATTTAGAGAATTGCTGTCACTGCAATGGAAAATGGCCAGAGAGTCCCTACATCCAGGCCTTTTCCACCCAAAGTCCCAAACCCTCCTCCCCCCGTCCTGCTCTAGCCCATCAGATCTTTCTCCTTCACACAAACATCTGACCCCAATACTTCTGGTTTCTCAATCTACTCTTGACCAGCAGACCCCGACCTCCACCCTCCCCTACACTAGATTCCCCAAACCCAGCCCCTCCTAACCAGCCACCACCTTCTCCCCCGGCCCCTGAGAGAACATGAGCTCCGAACACAGCCTTTCCCACTAGCACTGTTCTCAGGCCACGCAAAGACGGCCTTCCTCACCAGCCTCTTCTATCCTGCGCCCAATCCGCCCCGAGGGAGGCAGCAGGAACGGAGGACACAGTCTGAGTCCGTCCCATTCTGTGTCCAGCCTCACACAGGTGGAGAGGCTCTCAGATCTTTCTCCACTGAAACCCATCTCAGGCCTTACGAAAGCCTAGAGGACATCACCAAGTTTAGTTCACATTCAGGGACAGACCCACTAGCGCTGTCACCCTCCAGAAGAGAAGAGGACAGGAGAGAGGGGGCCTAGGGCTCTTTCTGGAGGAAGAAGGTTGTTTTTCTGTCAATCAGGCCCATCAGAGATGCCACCCAAAAATAACAGGACCGCAAAGACCAGGAAACGGCAATCAAACTCATGGGCTACTGGCTAAAGAATGTAAATTGGTGCCTCATCCTGTTTTTTGGGCCATGTATTCTGCGCCATCTTTCATCTTTCCTCCAGGACCACTTCCACCAACCAGCCTCTCGGGGCGATCATGCTGCTACAGCCCCTCCCCCAACCAGAAGGAACCTGTACAACATTCCAGCTGACGACAGTCAAAAGCCAGCCCTGTGATCTCCATGTCCAGGTTCAGCAGGAAGTAATTACAGAAGCTATAGCCTTCGTCCCTGTTCCATAAAACAGAAAGGCTGCCATGCTGAGCAACTGAGTTGGTACCGCTCCCCTGGGAGCTGGCTTTTCAGGCCATTTCACCAAGGACATTCCCTCTGCGGAGACCACGTTTCACTGTGGCGATCACATTCCATTCTCTGCCCTCTGGGAATGCATAAAGAAGCCTCCATCCAGAAAAAGCCTGCCAACAGTCCTTTAAAAGCCACAGACTCTTGTCACTGGGGGCTGGGCCATCTGGGGCTCAGCCACCTGGTGTGCAGATGGTCGAATAAATTCGTAATCCCTCATCACTCTGGCCTCGTGCTTTCCTCCTTCAGCAACCTAACACTTATCAAGTATTAAAGCATCTACTACTATGTGCTAGTCCTTGGAAATATATGCATACTCTCAAAACACAATATGTCCAAAACAGAATTTGCCTTCTCTCCGGGAATCTTTATTTCTGTCCTATTTCCAATTCTGAGTGAACAGCGCTATCATCCACTTAGTAGCCCAAACCGGAGCAGGGACTCATTTGACTGCTCCTCACTCTCCAATCAGAATATTTCCTTCTAACCCTGACTCCCTCTTACCTTTCGAAACTGCTCCCTTTCTCCCCTCTCCCCACAACCAGTGATGGTTTCATCATCTCCATTACTCAGAAAGTACCAGGTGATGCTATTGGTAACAAACGCAAACCTCAAAACAAAGGTTTATTATTATTTTTTAACATATATTTTATTGATTTTTTACAGAGAGGGAGAGAGAGAGATAGAGAGTTAGAAACATCGACGAGAGAGAATCATCGATCAGCTGTCTCTTGCACACCCCCTACTGGGGATGTGCCCGCAACCAAGGTACATGCCCTTGACCAGAATCAAACCTGGGACCCTTCAGTCCACAGGCCGACGCTCTATCCACTGAGCCAAACCGGTTTCAGCCAAAGGCTTATTTCTGTAAGTCTATCCTGGCAGAAGGAAAAGAGAGTGAACCATGTGCTCCTTTTTTTTTTTTTTTATTGTGGTAAAAATAAATAACATAAAACCTTAATACACTTTTAAGTGCACAGTATTGTTAACTATATGTGCATAGTTATACAGATATTTGTAAAATATATATTTTTTATTGATTTCAGAGAGGAGAGAGAGAAACAGACAGACATTAATGAGAGATAACTTACTGATCAGCTGCCTCCTGTACGCCCCACACAGGACTGAGCCCAAAACCCAGGCATGTGCCAATGACCTGAAATTGAACTGTGACCTCCTGGTTCATAGGTCAATGCTCAACCACTGAGCGATGCTGACTGGGCAAATCTTTGGAACTTTCAAATCTTGCATAACTGACATTCCATTCCCACTGCATAAAAGCTATTTCCCCTCCCCCAGATCCTGGCAACCACTCGCTACTTCCTGCTTCTATGAGTGACTACCTTAGATACAACCTGGAAGTGCAGTCATACAGTGTTTGTCTTTTTGGAACTGGCTTATCTCAGTACAATGTACTCAAAGGTCATCCATGTGGCTGCATGTATCAGAATTTCCTTCTTTTTCAAATGCTGACTAATATTCCACTGTATGGATAGATTACATTTTCTTTATCCATTCATCCACTGATGGACATTTAGACTGTTTCCATTTACATGCTTATTCTGAATAATGCTTCAATGACTATTGAAGTGCAAGTATCTTTTCAAAATTGTTTTTAAAAATGTTATTTACTTATTTATCTATCTATTTATTTTTTAGAGAAAGAAGGGAGAGGAATAGAGAGATAGAAACATCAATGAGAGATAAACGTCACTGATCATCTGCCTCCTGAAGGCCCCTTACTTGGGATTGAGCCCAAAACCCAGGCATGTGCCCTGACAGGGAAGTGAACTGGCTGGCTAGCACACTGTCCTGATATGCCAAGGTTGTGAGTTTGCTCTCCGGTCAGGGCATTTAGAAGAAACAACCATGATCCACAAATAAGTACAACAACAATTGACATTTCTCTCTTTCTCTCCCCCTCTTCCCCTGTCTCTTTAAAAATCAAGAAAAGTAGCCCAGGTGTGGTTCAGTGTTTAAGCGTTGACCTATGAACACAGTTCAATTCCTGATCATGGCACATACCCAGGGTTTTGGGCTCAATCCCTGGCGTGGGATGTGCAGGTGGCAGCCAACCAATAACTCTATCTCATCATTGACGTTTCTCTCTCTCTCTCTCTCCCTCTCCTTTCCTTTCTGAAAAAATAAAAATAAAAATAAATAAATATATACATATATTAAAAAATAAAAAACAACAACTCTATGTGATAGCTCACAAATTTTAAGACATTCTTTTTTTTTTTAAATATATTTTATTGATTTTTTACAGAGAGGAAGGGAGAGAGAGAGCGAGCTAGAAACGTCGAGAGAGAGAAACATCGACCAGCTGCCTCTTGCACACCCCCTACCGGGGATGTGCCCGCAACCAAGGTACATACCCTTGACTGGAATCGAACCCGGGACCTTTCAGTCCGCAGACCGACGCTCTACCACTGAGCCAAACCGGTTTCGGCTTAAGACATTCTTAGTTCACAGAATAAGAGTCTGATTAAAGAGAAGATTTTCAACAATGAGGTGACTGAATAGCTTTGGTCTCACCTTATGCGATCATCTGAGTGAACAATACACCAGACATGACAGATTGCCACCATGATGCCCAGCTCTCTAACCAAAGGAGTTTCGGCACAGTAGGGTGGGGAAAAGAGAAACCAAGAATAAAGCTGGCACCGGGAAAGCAACACGAAACTCTCTACATCTACAGAACAGGAAGATGGCACACAGCAGACCCACACCCTGTGGCTGCAACCCCACGAGGGGCTCCATCTGAGCCATGTCAACCACCACGCACAGAGTACGACCTTCGTTTGCTTCCTCGAAAAAGAGAAAAAAGGAAGAGCACTCAAACCCTCTCCCAGGTCAGCACACAGATAACCGGGAGATGTGTGTGCCACCAGGTAGCTCAAACCGTAATTCGAACAGAAGCGTGGAGAAGGCGCCCTCCTTACCTTCCGGCAGCGGGGGTTGGGACAGCTGAACCTCTTCACGTCGCTGTCCAGCAGGGCGGGAAAGCTGCAGGAGGGGCACCTAGGGCCAAGGCAGAGCAGCGGTCAGAACGGCCCACCGGCGCGGCTCCCTGTGACTGCTGACCCCACGGCGGGCTTTTCGGCGCTCGCCACCTCTCTCACTCCTTACTTTGCATTAAAACGTGGACTGAGGCTCGCCTGTGCGCTGGCCCTGACCAGAAAATGCGGGCCATTCTGGGTCCTCCTCAGTGCGAACCACCCCACAAACATACACGTCTGAGCGCCTCACAGCCGTCACTTCCCTCCAGCCCATGTACAATGTCTGCACACAGCCAGGTGGTGAAGAGAAGCCCAGGGGATGCAGGCAACAATCTGAAGTGCAGGTGTTTTCCATTAATAAATTATTCTTTTATTGCTCAGCAAGAAGGGCCAGAAAAACTGGAAAATAGAGCTTTGTTACAGGAATTCCATCACCTGACAAAGTGCTCAGCCGCGTTCCCAGTGGAGAATGAGGTGGCCCTCACCTGACAAGCTCGTCGGCGTAGGCCGCAGTGACTTCCTCCTCGGCCTTGCGCTCGTAGTATTTACACAGGATGGTCTGGGGAAGCACCTTCTCCAGTTCGCTGGTTGGGAAGGAACATGTGCAGCTGCCTTCCATGCAGCTAAGCTCTGACTAGAATGAGGAGGTCAGGAGGCAAAGAGAAGGGGGAAAAGGAAAATTTAACCAAGGTCTCAAAAAAATGAACAGCCTCAGTAGTTAAATGCATCATAAGCAAATAAACTGTGACTAAGTACACAGGTTGTGAGATTATAAAGATCTGTCTTCTGAGAAACCACACTCCAAACAAGGAAACCATGAAACAAAAACACAAGTCCAAATGGGATTTCACCAAAAGGCCTCTAGCAGCCCAAAGCACAGTGCAGGGCGATGGGAGTGGAGGAGGGGAAGGTCACAGCGCAGTGTCTGAAAAGGAGCTACCGAGAGCAGCCAGCTGGTTCCCGCTACAGCCTCTGCAAAGGCTGGAGGCTAGACATGGTGGCAGGCGGATGTGAGCGGCAGGACAGGGGCGGGAACCGACAGCGATATAAACTGAAAACGGGAGGACTGTTTGAAGAGCCCCCAGTCCCTACGCCATCAGATGCCGTCAGCTGATAAAACTCCTCAGGAGGAAGGACAGCCTTTGGAGCAGTGGAGCAGAGGGCTCTGGACTTCGTCTGTAAAGCCACGTCCAGCCCGCTGGGCCTCACACCACAGCACTCTGACAGTTTTGCTGCTCGTGTCCATTTTAAGGACCCTTACAGTGACAGTGGGCCCACCTGAATAATGAGGGCAATCTCCCTATTCTGAGGTGCTCCAATTAGCAGCCTCCATTTCCCTTTGCCATGTAAGGCAGCATATGCACAGGTTCTGGGGCCAAGGAGGTGGACATCACAGCCACTCTGCTCATTATTACTCAGTCCTTCACTAAACCATATCTGACTTTAGAATATGATGAGTGATTTGATTATTGGTTGTTTAGGAAACTCAATTTTGGTTTTAAAGTATTCATCCAGGCAAAACAAAACTCCTTCCATTGTTATTTTCTAGTGTTGAGAAAATGACTCTGGCAAGAGAAATGTGGTCTTGTATAAAATAGTTAACTGATTGCTTGACTGGTTTGGCTCAGTGGAGCATGCAGTCTGAAGGGTCCCGGGTTTGATTCCGGTCAAGGGCATGTACCTTGGTTGTGGGCACCTCCCCAGCAGGGGATGTGCAGGAGGCAGCTAATCGATGTTTCTAACTTTCTCTCTCCCTTCCTCTCTGTAAAAAAGTCAATAAAATATATATATTTTTAAATAGATAACTGATTGTAATCCTATATAATAAAAGGCTAATATGCAAATCATTCCTTCAGGAGTTGACTGACCAGTAGGTAGTTCAACCACTTGCTATGACGCGCACTGACCACCAAGGGACAGCGTGGAATGAAGGGAGGCCCAAATCGGCTCTGATTGCTGGCAAGGCCTAGGGACCACACCCGTGCAGCAGGCCTCTAGTAGAACTATAAAGTCCTTTAAAAAAAACCAGTTAGCCCTAGCTGGTGTGGCTCAGTGGAGAGAATGTTGGCCTGCAGACTGAAGAGTTCCGAGTTTGATTCTGGTCAAGGGCACATGCCTGGGTTGCAGGCTTGATCCCTAATAGGGGACATGCAGGAGGCAACCGATCAATGATTCTCTTTTGTCATTGATGTTTCCATCTCAGTTCCTCTCCCTTCCTCTCTGAAATCAATAAAAAAAAATTTTTTAAGTCAGTTAAAATTACTAATTTGTACTCACATATTCAAACAAGAATAAATTCTTTATTTCATCTTTCATTTTACTTTATATATTTTTATTGATTTCAGAGAGAAAGGGAGAGGGAGAGAGAAACATCAATGATGAGAGAATCATTGATCGGCTGCCTCTCGCACGTCCCCCACTAGGGACAAGCCCATCACCCAGGCATGCCCCCTTCACAGAACTGAAGCTGGGACCTTTCAGTCCACAGGCTGACGCTTTATCACTGCGCCAAACCGACTAGGGCTCATCCTTCATTTTCCTTATGAACAGGAGGATGAGGGAAGAAGCTGGTCCTCCTTGCATGGAAGAATGCCACTCCCTGAAAAGGTATCTCCTATGCTTAGCACCAACATAACCACGCAAATCAGGGACCGTCTAGGAATCACACACATTCACATGCCTTGGCAGCATCCCACCTCCCTCCAAGAAAGACACTTCCACGAGGTATTCACACTTGTCTAGAAACGTGGTCTCCACAGACTCTGTGCATGTTTCTTACCTGTGGGCAAATTCCACAGTTCTTACCTTTCCAGATCCAAAGACCGCCTCCTGGGCATATCTGATGAGACATTCTTTGCAGAACAAGTGAGCATCGGCACACTGAGTCAGCTCCTCAAATGGAAATTCCCCGTAGCAGCAGCGGCACTCAATCAGCTGACCATCCTGCAGGCCACAAACACACATGAAAATTCCCCAAATTCCAGTACAGAGCCTGCAGGTTTCAGATTCTTCCACCCATACGCCCCCAGAGGTAAAGAGCAGCCCGGGAAGCCATAAAACCACCAGGACCTGTTTTCCACTGTATAAATGTAGCTTGAGATGGCAGCACAAATATTAATACACAGTTAAAGAGAATGAGATTTCCACTTTTTTGGCATCATCCTTTGTTTAATGTTATCTTATTCATGAAGTCCACGGTGCTAGCAGAACTGTACCATCTGCAAGCAGATTATACTGCTAATAGGATTCTAAGAGTCAGGGAGGAGTGGCATGACCGCTATTAGCTAAAAAGCTTCAAAAGTTGGATTTTCTCGCCTGGCTGGTGTGGCTCATTGGTTGAGTGTCAACCTATGAGCCAGGAGATGTGGGTTCAATTCCCAGTCAGGGCACATGCCCAGGTTGTGGGCTTAGTCCCCAGAGTGGGGTGTGCAGGAGGCAGCGAATCAATGATGTTTCCTTTGCTTTTGCCTTCTCCCTTACTCTCAGAAACCAATTTATATATATATATATATATATATATATATATATATATATATATATATATATATATATAGTTAGGTTTTCTTTTCTTTTCTTTTTTTAATATATTTTATTGATTTTTTACAGAGAGAAAGGAAGAGAGATAGAGAGTTAGAAACATCGATGAGAGAGAGTCATCGATCAGCTGCCTCTTGCACACCCCCTACTGGGGATATGCCCGCAACCAAGGTACATGCCCTTGACCGGGATCAAACCCGGGACCCTTCAGTCCCCAAGCCGACGCTCTATCCATTGAGCCAAACCGGTTTCGGCTTTCTCTTCTTGTTATAAGACAGTTGTGTGAGAAGATCACACCCCAACCCAATCTTTACCTTAAGGTAAGGAACCAAAGCTAACTGCAGCAGCAATCGCAGTTCCTACAGGTACTGTGAGAAAAGGCCACTATGTGAAGAGCAGGTAAGAGTACAAAGCCGTCTGGCCCTGAGGTCACAGAAATCTCTGCCCTCTACCTCGACTAGTAAGCATGACTTGAGTTCTACATTTTCCTCTAAGAGTTTTCCTCTTTGACTTTCTGCTCATAGAACTCCTGCTCATCCCAACAGATTCTAGGCAGCGTTCCTTAACAGGAGAATTTCTATCATCTCCCCTTCCACTCCCATCCAGTCTGGTATTAAGAGCAACAATGATGTTTCAAGTGTCTGACTGTAACATGGTTACAAACTCAGCAGATCAACAGATTATCCGGGAACCAATGTGCCATCAAAGTGCTGAGGAAATGTGATAAGAAGAGAGTCCATGAAAAATACCAGAATAAATGAATTAAGTAAGTTTTCAAAATACCTTCTGATACTGTTCTTCATTCATCTGCAGAGCAAGCAAAAAGTCTTCATGCTGAGGAACAAAAAACCAGACATGCAGATACAAATTTAGTAAAGATGTCTCAAACCATTTAGAATTCATTGCAATAAACATAAAAGAGCTATTATTAATGTCATCTTTTCAGTTACATGACTTAGCAGTTTAAAATTTATCAAATTTTGACCCTCAAAAACATTTTCCAGTACTCTGACAAAGTGGGGGAAACGTGCAAAGTGCTTTTGCTGCACCCTGACTATGATGGTCGCCTCGAGCAGAAGCCCTTGTACCACTGAATGGCAAGCTGCTGAACTAGGCACTTTAAAAGGATTGCCAGAGCCGAAACCGGTTTGGCTCAGTGGATAGAGCGTCTGCCTGCGGACTGAAGGGTTCCAGGTTCGATTCCAGTCAGGGGCATGTACCTTGATTTCGGGTACATTCCTAGTGGGGGGTGTGCAGGAGGCAGCTGGTTGATGATTCTCTCTCATCAATGTTTCTAACTCTCTATCCCACTCTCTTCCTCTCTGTAAAAAGTCAATAAAATACATTTATAATGAAAAATAAATAAATAAATATAGGACTCTCTTTCACGGCCCGCGTAGAAAGAGTTCCAATTCAGGGTTCAGGTTCTGGAGAAGGGCCGCACACAAATGAAGAGAGACTTGAAGAAATTCAATTTGGCGGTTTGGGGATTTTTGAGAAGTCGTCTTGATCCATGTCACAGAGCTACCTGCCCACCTGTCATTAGGTGACACTGCCTTTTTGAAAAAATGTGTGCATGTTGAAGAAAATGATGACCACTGATACAAATTGGTGCCACTGGCTTGACTCATGCTAGGGCAAAACCATTGCATTTGTTTTATCAGTATAAATTCAACACAGGGAAAAGGTAAGTAATGTCTTATTATCACAAGAGATCTGATTTGCAGACCCCTAACGAGTCTTGGGTCCCTGGCTCGGGTGGCTCAATGGATTGGGCATTGTCCTATGCGCCAAAAGGTTGCTGGTTTGATTCCCGATCAGAGCACATTCCCAGGTTGTAAGTCCCATGCCTGGTCAGGGTGCATGCTGAGGGCAGCCAACCCAAGTTTCTTTCTCCCTCTCTCTCTCTCAAAATAATAAATAAGTAAATAAATAAGTAAGTAAATAAATAAATAGATAAATAGAGCCTTGGGGAAGTCATGGGTCATACTTTCAGAGCTGCTGGTCTAGACAATACATATTAAACAACCAAGATACATATTATCACTGACTAGCATCTGATGCATATTTGGAAGAATTAAAGAGCTCAGGGGCATTTTTCTCTGGTTTTGCTCCACCATTAGGGACTGAGGGAGGTCAAATACTGTGTGCTAAGCTCCAATTAAAATTCTCTGCCATAAATCTGATTTATGAACTTTTAATATTATTTTACCCAGTTTTCCTTTTAAAAACGTTAACAGTTTACTCAAATCGATCACACAAACAAAAGGTAAATCTTAAAAGACAGTTTTGTAGTAGCCCTCCAAGCAAACCAGAATCCCAGAAACACACGCCATGCACATCCTCCTACCTCTGCCATCTCTTTGACTTTCTGCTCATAGAACTCCTGCTCTTGCTGCACAGCTGGATGGAGGGCACGCCGTTCATAGATCCTACAATGGCGCCGCTTATTTTCCAAAAAGAACATCCTTTTTTCTATTTTTATGTCACCTACAAGACATGACAATGCAAAGCCATGCAGAAAACTGTGTGCTAGAAACACAGGCCAGCCATTCCATTCTCCTGTGGCCTGGGCCCCACCTACTTTCTAGACGTACGTTTCATTCCTCTCCTACATGAGCCACCATTGGGGAAACTGAGCTCTCGTCCATCCCCTAACCTCCATGCTCTTTCTGACTTTTGTCTTTTCCCCTTTCTGTACTCCAATTGGACCACCTCTCCTATCCCCAGTTTGGTGCTGTGTGAATACAGCAGTTTATTACCATATTACTCTGAGGATAGGTGGGTTTACAGTTTAGGGTTAGTATCAATTGGGTTATTGAACATATGGCTACAGTTCAGTCAAGCACGCAGGAAGGAATGGAACTGCTGGATCAGCTTTAGAAAACTGTCAGTTTCCCAATGTCAGTCTCCCAATTTACACCTGCCCTCCACCAGCGACATAAGCGAGTCCCAGTCACTTCACAGCCACATCAACACCTGGTATTGACAGTGTTCATTTTAGCCATTCTGGTAGGCTCACATGCATTTTATGTATGTTTTTAAATTTTTTAATTTGGAGATTAAACATACAAAAGCTGAAAGAATAAGACCTATATTCACAATAACACAATAAAAAGACAATAGAATCATAAAATATTACATAATATAAAATTGGTCTATTCTGTTGACTGATAATTTTCATTTTCTAAAAACTTCTCTACTTCATCCAGATTTTCTATTTACTCAAAAAAACCTGTTCTTAGTAAATCTTGATTTTATCAATATTTAACTATATCAGGTTCCAGATGGCTAGAACTTCCAGGACTATATTGAATAGCAGTGAATAGAATATTCTTCTTCTTCAAAAAATATATTTTTATTGATTTCAGAGAGGAAGGAAGAGGGAGAGAAACATGGATAAGAGAGAATCATTGATTGGGTGCCTCCTACACGCCCCACACTGGGGATTGAGCCCTGATTGAGAATCAAACTGTGACCTCCCGGTTCATAGGTCGATGCTCAATCACTAAGCCACACCAGCCGGGTAGGATATCCTTCCTTACTCCCAATCTCAGAGGAAGAAGGATTCACCCACTATTAAGTATAATATTAGGATTAGATTTTATTGTAGACATTATTAAGCTGAGAAAGCTCCTCTTAATTCCTAACTTTCTGAGAGTTTTAATCTGAATAGGTTTTAAATATTATTAAATGCCTTTTCTACATCAACTGATATGACCAGGTGATTTTTCTTTAGTCTATTAATATAGTGTATTGTACTGATTTGTTTTTGAATAATGAACCAGCCTTGCATTTTTGGAATATACTCCTCTTGGACTTGGTATATACCAACAAGAGTTTGACTCAGTTGGTTGAACGTTGTCCTGGGCACCGAAAGGTCCCCAGTTTGATTCCCCAGTCAGGGCACATACCTAGGTTGTGGGTTATATCCTCAGTCAGGGTGCATGTGGGAGACAACTCATCAATGTCTCGCTCACATCAATGTTTCTCTCTCTTTCTCTCTCCCTCCCATCCTCCATTCCTCTCCTTTCCCCTCCCCAATCAATAAAAATATATCCTAAGGTGAGAGTTAAGAACAAAAGTTAAGTGTATCTCTAAGTCACAAATATTAAACTACTAATGTAAATCAAGTATATTTTCTATTTCTAATTTCCAATGTCGTTAAAGATGATCTAATAAGTGCAATATAAGTACCAGAATCAAAAATTAAAAGGGATATATCTGAAACAAGGGGCTAAAATGAAGTTAACAGGGGAAAATCAGATGCATCAAAACTGAGACTTTTGTAAAAGTAAGGTGGGTGAACAGACCAGAGCTTACATATCTGATGTTACATTCTTAGGCTGAATGGACTGACATACAGATTCAAAATCCCAGCTGCTGTCTTTCCACAGCAGATCTCACTCAGAATACTTTGTCTAGCCCAGTACACAGAACTTTCAGATACTGACAAGCCAGTGGAGGGCACACAGAGACGGAAAGTCAGGAAGATGGAGTGACAACAGACAGACTCCCCGTCTTTCCAGAGGCAAGAGTGTGTGGGAAGGGACGGTTCTGCAGAGCAGCAGCACACAGTTTGCCGTTACCTTGTTCAAACTTGAAATCTATGTAAGAATACTGATTCATTTCTTTTCTCTTTTTTCTTTTTCCACTGGTTTCTGGTGATAGCTCCTGCCATTTTTTAATAGCATCAGAAAAGGCCTAAAAATTGAGAAAGGGAAAGATTACACTATAAATAGGATACGAGACTACCTGGAACTCAGGCAATCCCCGAATTTCATTTTGACTCAGTTTCGCTTCTCCCCAGCATGGCTTACAGAAACAGGTAGTGGGGAAAACAGGTGCATTTAATTTTTGTTTTTTCTGACTTGGACGAACTGCTACAATGGCGGAACCCAAATGCTTGCTGACAAATTAAAGGGCCAGGTAAGAAAACACAAACGGCCCAAACTGTCCTTGAATAAGTACAGGTTAAGTCACAAAACGAATGGCTAGGGAGCTGTATTTCACAGACATTACCTCTATGGTGTTATTCTGGTCAACACTCCCTGTTCCACTCCCCACACTCCTTTGTTGCTTTCACCTTGGTTCTGGAGCACAAAATTCTTATCCCAGCGATAATCCCATCTTCCATACCTTTTCATTTTTCCCTTTTTAAATTTAATATTATCATTATTTTTTGTTAATCCTCACCAGAGCCTATTTTCCCCCCATTGCCTTTAAGAGACAGTTGGGGGGAGGGGGGACAAATAGAGGGGAGAGAGGAGAAACATCAATGTGAGAGACACATTGACTGGCTGCCTTCCACATACACCCCAACCAGGGGGTGGGATGTAAACCCACAATCCAGGTATGTGCCCTTGACCGGGAATCGAGCCCATGATCCTATGGTGGGTAGCCAACACTCTACCCACTGAGCATATCAGTTAGGACTTCTCCCTTTTTCTTTTTAGATCTTCCCAATAAGCATTTAAATGAGCTCAAGTCTTTACCACTGAAGGTCTAATTACATAGACCAGATAAGTTAGTTGTTCAGAATTGCTTATTTTCAAGACCTGCTAGCTAGAATTCACACCTACACACCTCAAAGACACCATGTCTACCTTTCCTTACCTCACAGCCTTTTTCTGTTTTCTAGTGAAGACATCCATTATTTGAGACTGTTTAACCACCACGTCTTTTCTTCCTTAGTGCTCTCGTAGACATACTTCTCCTTTATAATACGACTAGAGGCCCAGAGCGCAAAATCATGCGATACCCAGAGTCCCTCCCCCTGCCTCCGCAGGACCCGTCAACGCCCCTCCTGGTGACCAGTCGTTTGGTCATTCCGGCATCTGGCCACGGGCTTTTTATAATATAGGCGGAACTATTTTAATATTTTTTTAAAATCTCCTCAAAATGAAAGCTCTTTGGAAATAAGTTAATTTGTGTTCCATGATGCCAGTGTCCTCAAGGAGTAATAGCCAGTAAGTGCTCAAAAAACCTACCAGGGAACAGAGGAACAACAGATGTTGAAGCATAATTTTTCCTTTTCCTTTTTTTAAAAAAATATATTTTATTGATTTTTTTTTACAGAGAGGAAGGGAGAGAGAGAGAGAGCTAGAAACGTCGATGAGAGAGAACATTGACCAGCTGCCTCTTGCACAGCCCCTACCGGGGATGTGCCCACAACCAAGGTACATGCCCTTGACCGGAATCGAACCCGGGACCTTTCAGTCTGCAGACCAACAAACCGACTACCACTGAGCCAAACCGGTATCAGCATAATTTTTCCTTTTACTATTATCTGGCATTTCTCCCTCTAGCTTGCTCATGTTCACAAATCAAATACCCACTGGTGGTATTATTCTGAGAACCAAAGACACAGTCCAATATGATTTTTAGGATATTTGTGAAAATCGCCCAAGTTCCTCTAGGATGACCTAAAGTCACTCTAACGGCCCTGGCCAGTGTGGCTCAACTGATGGGAATCATCCCATGCACTGAAGGTGCCGGTTCGATCCCTGGTCAGGGGACATGCCTGAGTTTCGGGTTTGATCGCTCGTGGGGGCTGTGCCAGCGGCAGCTGAAACAGCCATTGATGTCCCACTCACATCGATGTTTTGTTTGTTTTTTCTCTCACCCTACTTCTCTAAAAAACACAATAAAAAACCATAAAAAAACCAACACGGTAAGGGGCATTTGATGACATAAAAGCTGAGGACAGAGACTGGAGCCTGGGGGAGGGGAGAGTGAGAACTTATAGACTGAAGAGAAAATGAAATGATTCTTGCAATCAGCTTCAAAATAGTCGGGGAGGGAGGAAGCGGGTGGAGATCAAACAAGACTGGGCAGTCGCTGATAATTACTGAAGCTGAGTGATGGGTTAAGCGTGGGTTTACTCTAATACGATCTTTTAAAATACGTGTTTGATGTTCATTAATAACACAGGGGGGAACCCAGGGAAGTGTGATTGTCTCCCAGTGAACACTCGTCCCTAAGCTAGCATCATGTCTGAGCAGCAGCACACGGGAGACGTGTCATTGCTCTGATTACAAAGTGGAAGCCTTTACGTCTTGTCCCCGAGGTTTACTTTCCACCGGCAGGACTCCCATCATCTGCACCAGCCGACCAGATTTCAGCCAAGAGTGTTCCCTTCAACACGCCACCACTCTCATTAAATAACATGTAAAGTTCCAAACTGCCCACCAAAACACGCAGACACATGAAAGACACAAAGGCCGGGAAGGGATAAGGAAGGTATAAACGAGGGAACAGCCTCCTACCCCAATCACAAGTGGCCGTGGGATGAGCCTTTGGCAGGGACGCTAATGAGAACCCCTTCTCCGACCACTTCTCCTCCGGGCTCCCGGGGCTCAGAGCACGGGAAGGGCCTCCTGCAGCAGCGCAGCGCTAGGAGCGCCTCAAGATGAAAGAGCCCCCCAGCTTTCTTGCAGTTACAATTTTCGGGCGAAGCTCATTCACTTTCAGTGACAGTACAGGCATTCCCTAGTTAGCTAGCCGGGGGAATGAGATTCAGAAATAGAAACCACTAACTCTGTATTCCCCTCGGAGTACGTTCACCAAAATTAACTTCGATCAGGAGTTTGCTGACAGGTGCCTGCACCTTCCTGGCAATCTAAAGGTGGAAGGGTCTCAGACTCAGCATGAAGGCACGTTCATCTAGGGTTCACCAGCTTTGAGGTTAAGCGCAGTGGGTGCTTTAACCATTAATACTCCACTGGAAAAAGCATACTGTGTGCTGGGAACCACAAGAACGTCAGCAGGAGAAATGGGTTTCATGGCAGCAGAGAAGAGGAACAAGCCCAACACCTGCTGGTGCTCTCTGTCCTGGCTGACCGCCATAAGCCGTGCTGTGCAGATGTCACTAATGAGGCATGCTGCCTCACCCACTAGTGGCCAGCACTCTCTAAGCCTTAGGACAGAGGACCTCAAAGGGAGTCTTATTTAGCGCCCTGGAGTCGTGGGAGCTTCCAGCAGCTTCCAACTCTTTTCTGAGGCAAACCACCGCTCAGTGTGTGGCCTGCCCTCAGCCAGAAAGCTCAGGAGGGAAAAGCAGCACTGGAACACCCCCTGCATTCCAAGGTAAAATTCATGACCCTCCATGTCTTTTATGTGGTCAAGCCAGAATTTCCTTGCTTCTAATGCATTACTTCTTTTCATTCAGTTCTTCCAAACCAGCAAACACCTGTCTATTTACTATCTTCACCCCGACAATCTCCTTTGCCCTTTGCCGTCATACACCACCCCCTTTCTGCAAGCTGAACGCTTCACTGTGTTATCCCAGGGAGCCCTCCTCCTGACCCGCAGGAGGAAGAAGTAGAGCACCTTTCGGGTGATGGCATAGTGTCCTTTGAGCTCATGCAGGGCCCACTTGATGTCCTGGCTGCTGAGCATTTTGAAGTCGGCCATCAGGAGGTCAGCAGCCTGGTTGAAGCAGCGCTGGTCAAGAGGAGCCAATTTCGAATAGTCAAAGAAGTCTACCTTCGGCAACTGAAACCAGAGAGAGGCACATTAGAGGGCAGAGGAAATGATTTGAAGGATTGCTGACTAAAGAACACCTCATTCACAACTACTCTTTAAGGAGGTTACCAGCCCTGAATAGAGATGAAGAAATGGTGATTCAGAGAAATTAAATGACTGTCTGGAGTCTAGAAATAGCTTTACTACTTAGAACAAGTAAAAAAAGTATAGCTGGGGATTTGAACCCCATCTTTCAGCTATCTTCTTCCCACAAAAATATTTAGAAAATTAAATTTTTCCTGCTATAAAATATGTAAAAGAGGTTAATCAAAAGAATTTGTGGGAAATAAGCCGAAGCCGGTTTGGCTCAGTGGTAGAGCGTTGGTCTGCAGACTGAAGGGTCCCAGGTTTGATTCCGGTCAGGGGCATGTACGTTGGTTGCGGGCACATCCCCAGTGGGGGGTGTGCAGGAGGCGGCTGATCGATGTTTCTCTCTCATCGACGTTTCTGGCTCTCTCTCTCTCCCTTCCTCTCTGTAAAAAATCAATAAAATATATATTAAAAAAAAAAAATTTTGTGGAAAATAAGACGGAGCAACAAACCCCAATGAGGCAGTTCTGAACTATATTTTCCGTCACCACTTACCCTAAATGCTCCTTTGGACCACAAGTGAAGATAATGATTAATATATATATATATTAATACGTGTGTGTGTGTGTTTTTGTATGTTTTTTTCTTAATCCTCACAGGAGGATATTTGTCCATTGATTCTAGAGAGTGGGAGAGAGGGGGAAAGGGAAAGAGGATAGAGAAACATCGGTGTGAGAGTCACCTCAGTTGGTTGCCTTCCACACATGCCTCTGCTAGGGTGGGGAAATTATAACCCAGGTTTGTGCCCTTGACCGGGGTGGAACCTGCAACCCTTTGTTTCATGGGCCAACATTCTAACCACTGAGCACACAGGCCCAGGCAAGAATTTTTTAAAAATCTTCACTGAAGGTTATGTTTACTGCTTTGAAGGCAGGGGAAGGAAGGAATGGGCGGGGAGGGTAAGAGAGAGAAATGAACCTGCAAACTAGGTATGTGCCCTGACTGGGAATCAAATATAGGCTGACGCTTCAAACAGTTGAGCTACCAGTCAGGGTGATAATGATTAAGATTTAAAAAGTCAAACTTATATGTACAAAGATGATAATTTAACTTTTAAAAAAGTCAAACTTTATATGTTGATAAGGATTTGGTTACACAGGTGTATGCATTGTATGTAATCTTACATTATATATTTATTTTTTATTTTATTTATTTTATTGATTTTTTTACAGAGAGGAAGAGAGGGATAGAATTTTTTTTTTTCTTTTTTTTAAAATATGGAACGCTTCACGAATTTGCGTGTCATCCTTGCCCAGGGGCCATGCTAATCTTCTCTGGGTCGTTTCAATTTTTAGTATAAGTGCTGCCGAAGCGAGCACGGGATGGAGAATTAGAAACATCGATGAGAGAGAGTCATCGATCAGCTGCCTCTTGCACACCCCCTACTGGGGATGTGCCTGCAACCAAGGTACATGCCCTTGACCGGAATCAAACCCGGGACCTTTCGCTGAGACTGGTTTGGCTCAATGGATAGAGCGTCAGCTTGAGGACTGAAGGGTCCCCGGTTCGATTCCAGTCAAGGGCATGTACTTTGGTTGCGGGCACATCCCCAGTAGGGGATGTGCCAGAGGCGGCTGATCGATGACTCTCTCTCATCGATGTTTCTAACTCTCTATCTCTCTCCCTCCCTCTCTGTACAAAATCAATAAAATATATTTAAAAAAAAAAAACAAAAAAAAAACCGGGACCTTTCAGTCTGCAGGCCGATGCTCTATCCATTGAGCCAAACCAGTTTCGGCATGTAATCTTACATTACACAATCAACAGCCCAGTCGATGTGGCTCAGTGGTTGCAGTAGGATTCCTGGTCAGGGCAGATGCCTGGGTTGTGGGCTCAATCCCCAGTAGGGGGCGTGTAGGAGGCAGGCTATCAATGATTCCCTCTCATCACTGATGTTTCTATCTTTCTCCCCCTCTCCCTTCCTCTGAAATGAGTAATAAATTAAAAACAAAAACTATAAATAGCTTTGGCCAGGTGGCTAAGTTGGATGGCATGATCCCATTCACCAAATGGTTGTGGGTTCGATTCCAGTTAGGGCATGTACCTGGATTGTGAAACAATCCCTGATTGGGGTGTGTATGGGAGTAACCAATCAATGTTCCTCTCTCTTCCCCTTCCGCTCTAAAATCAATAAACCTATCTTTGGGTGAGGATAAAACAAACAAAAACTATAAACAGATACTGAACTCTAAGCAATCTGCAGGCTGAGGTATGTTTGCAGCAGTATACTGATGCCTTAGAGCTTTACCTTTAAGTCCATTATAATGAAATAAAATATAAGGAAGAGGTGCTAATGGACAGAGGGACAGATAGGTGACAAAGTGGATACAATAAAATGTTAACTTTTGACATTCTGGAAGATGGCAGCATAGGTAGACACCTAACTGCAGCCTCACACAACAATTTCAATAAAATACAACTAAAATACAAAACGGACATTACCCAGAACTACAGGAAATTCTACAACGAGAAGAGAAAACCAGAAGGAAAATCAGAGGAGCTGTAAAAGCCTAATGTACGGAGACACGGCGCGCGCGGAGAGGACAGAGCCGGAGAGGAGGGGGAGGCTGAGTGCCTGGCTGGCGTTCCCTAGCGGGAAGGAGATAAAACCTCCGAACTGTGCTGAACCCCAGTTCCAACAGCACTGAACCCCAGTTCTAGGCCAGACCCTGGGGACCCAGGCTCATACAGAGGGAGTCTAGGCTGTAAGGCGGAACCCCGGGGGAGCGGCGAAAGGCAGTCCCAGAGGCGCGCACATTTCATGCAGAGGACAGACTGTTAACTCTGCTGCTAGACTGCCCTAGTGGGAAGGAGACAAAAGCCCCGGACTGTACTGAGGCCCAGTTCCGACTGTACTGAACCCCAGTTCTAGGCCAGACCCTGGGAACCCATGCTCATACAGAGGGAGCCTGGGCTGAAAGGTGGAAACCCAGGGGAGCGGCGAAAGGAACTCCCTGAGGCGCGCACATTGTGCGCAGAGAACGGACGGTTGACTGTGCCACGGGATTGCCCTAACGGGAAGGTGACAAAAGCTCCAGACTGCTCTGAACCCCACTTCCAACCCCACTTGCAACTGAACTGAACCCCAGTTCCGGGTTCATTGGGGGAGAGCCTAGACTGTTTGGTAGTGGGCGAAATTCGAGGGCACCTTTCTCTCAGAGGTGCTTGCAGCGAGTACCGAAGGACACTGAGGAACACTGAGACTCGGGAACCTCATAGGGCGGGGCTGCCGGAAGCCAAGGCTGTAGGCTCCACCCTGAAACTCCGCCCCATCCAAGCTGAGCACAGAGGCTTTTAAGGCTACCAACTCAGGGAAGCTGCGAAAATGCCGAGACAAGGAAACAGATCACAAACAAAAGAAATGGAAGACAAAACGCAACTGAATATAGAGTTCAAAACCATGCTTATAAGGTTTTTCAAGAATTTCCTAGAAAAGACTGATAAAATAAATGAGTCCTATGAGGATATGAAAAGGGATCAACTAGAAATAATAAGGGATCAACTAGAAATAAAGAATACATTGTCTGTCTGCCGAAACCGGTTTGGCTCAGTGGATAGAGCATCGGCTTGGGGACTGAAAGGTCCCGGGTTCGATTCCGGTCAAGGGCATGTACCTTGGTTGCGGGCATATCCCCAGTAGGGGGTGTGCAAGAGGCAGCTGAACGATGACTCTCTCTCATCGATGTTTCTAATTATCTATCTCTCTCCCTTCCTCTCTGTACAAAATCAATAAAATATATTTTAAAAAAAAGAAAAAGAAAAAAAAGAATACATTGTCTGAAATAAAAAATATTATACGGAGTCCTAAAAACAGAATGGAAGATTGCAAGAATCAAGTCAAAGATTTGGAACACAAAGAGCCAGAAGACACTCCTCCGCAGAAGCAAGAAGACAAGAGAATCCAGAAAGTTGAAGATAATGTAAGAAAACTCTGGGACTTCAAGCGAACCAACATCAGAATTATGGGGGTCCCAGAAAAAGAGAGAAAGCAAGATACCGAAAACATACTGAAAGAAAGTGACAAAAAACTTCCCCCAGCTGGTGAAAGAATTAGACTTACAGAACCCCAATCAAAAGGAATCTAAAGAGGACCACACCAAGACACATCATAATTAAAATTCCAAGAGCAAAACACAAAGAGAGAATATTAAAAGCAGCAAGAGAAAAGCAGGTAGTTACCTATAAAGGAACACCCATACGATTGTCAGCTGATTTCTCAACAGAAACCATGCAGGCCAGATGGGAATGGCAAGAAATATTCAAGGTGATGAACAACAAGAACCTACAGCCAAAAATACTCTACCCAGCAAAGCTATCACTCAGAATCAAAGGCCAGATAAAGAGCTTCACTAATAAAAAAAAAAAGCTAAAGGAGTTCATCACCGCCAAACCAGAATTATATGAATTGCTGAAGGGGGTTCTTTAGGAAGAGAAAGAAAATAAAGATAAAAATTATGAACAACAAATACAAAACTATCAAGTGAATCTAAAAACCAAGGGAATTAAAAAATCTGATGAACAATATTAACTGGTGAATATAATAGAATCAGAGGTATGGAAGGGGAGTGAACTGACGATTCTCAGGGAAAAGGGGAGAGGGGGGTGTGGGAAGAGACTGAACATAAACTGTGCACCTATGGATAAGGACAATGGGGGGTGAGGAAAGGGCAGAGGGTGGGGTAGGAACCTGGTGGAGAGGAGCAATGGGGGGGGGGAATGAGGAACATTTGTAATATTATGAACAATAAAGATTTTTTTTTTTTAAGTTAACTTTTAAAATACTGCTGGATATATAGGTGATCAATATAAAATCTTTCCATAGGACTCATATTTAAAATTTTTCATATGTTTTCAATTTTAAATGTTTAAAAAATAACTGAGATGATACCAAAAATCCTGACCAATTCTTGTTTCAAGTTAGGAACTTATTTTGTAGGATGAGAGAGATGGAGGATTTGTGAGAAAGGGGAGAATTAAATACAGAATTCAAAGTGGCTCAGATGGGCAAATCCCACTAAAGAATAAATATATTCTGAAATTCTATTTTCCTGGCTAATCTTTAAAAATGTGTCCTGACAAATCACTTTCTTCTCATGAAGACAATGGAAAGAAACAGGGCATTTCCAGGTAGAGACTGCAAACAAGAACTCAATACTTGCCTTTATCTCATCTTGACTAGCAAGCAGGCTGCTACTAGGGTTGATAATGACTCGATCTTCTCTCTTTGGATAATCTGGGTTTTCCAGTAGAAAATTACAAAGTCTGCAAAAATAAATGAGGTTATTTTCATATTGTTTCCAAATCCCACACCTGCCCACGAATCAAACACAATGTTTGAAAAATGAAGTTCTGCCTGGCCAGTGTGGCTCATTGATTAACCCTTTGCACTCCGCTGTCCCCTCTCAGGGGACATTGCAGTTTATTAGTGATTACGGGGAATTGAGTTTCCGCCGCAAAGTAGCGTCGAGTAGCTGGTAGCCAACGTCCAGAATGGTTCGGAGTGCAAAGGGTTAAACATTGACCTATGAACCAGGAGGTCACAGTTTGATTCCTGGTCAAGACACGTGCCTGGGATGTGGTCCTGATCCCTGGTTTTGGGTGTGCAGGAGGCAGCCAATCAATGATTCTCTCTCATCAATGTTTCTCTCTCTCTATTCTCTCTCTCTCTTTATCTTTCCTCTCTGAAATCAATAAAAACATTTATTTTTAAAAAATGGTTCAGTTATAAATTTTTATGTTTTAGTACAATAAAAAAAAAGAAAGAAAAAAAGGCATGGTATACTCACACATTCAAATCATAATAATTCTTCAAATGAATTATTTCCTCAATATAGCCAGGTGCTACATCTGGAAATCTTGCTTCCTGGAAAAGAATAAAAACATTATGTTCATTTCATCCATTAGAATGTTTTCAAATTGCAATAAAAATCCAATGTCAGCCCTAGCTGGTTTGGCTCAGTGGATAGAGCATTGCAGACTGAAGGGTCCTGAGTTCGATTCCAGGCAAGGGAACATGCCCGGATTGTGGGCTCGATCCCCAGTAGGGGACGTGCATGAGGCAGTAAATAAATGATCTCTCTCATCATTGATGTTTCTCTCTCTCTCTCTCCTTTCCTCTCTGAAATCAATAAAAATATATATTAAAACACACACACACACACACAGAACACAATACAACAAAACAAAACACCAGATGCCAAATAATTACAAACTAGAAAAGGGCTATAAAGGAAGTTTGTGTCTAGCTTAAAACTTCACACCAGGAGCACAGATTCATCCGTCTACATAGAATATGGAAAGACCCCTGGGATCATCTGGTCCTCTGCTCCCATTTTGTAATGTCCTTCATTCTTTCAATAAACATTGAACATTTCTGCCAAGTAAAGGGATTCAAAGTGGAATAAAGTACAATCTAGTGCTTACCCTCAGAAAGCACACAACCTAGTGGGCCAATTGAAAAAAACCTAGTGAAGAAGAGTTAGGAGAGTGTCCAAAGGCAATGGGCGCAGGATCAGGACATAAACCCTGTACTGTTTATTTTTCTGAGAGAGAGAGAAACATTAATTCGTTATCCACTTACTTATGCTTTCATTGGCTGACTGGGATTGAGCCCACAGCCTTGGTGTATTGGATGACGCTCTAATCAACTGAACTATTTGGCCAGGGCTCTGCACTACTTTTTATTTTTATTTTAAAAAATATTATTTATTGATTTTGTATAGCGAGGAAGGGAGAGAGATAGAGAGTTAGAAACATCGATAAGAGAGAGTCATCGATCAGCTGCCTCTTGCACACCCCCTACTGGGGGTATGCCCGCAACCAAGGTACATGCCCTTGACCGGAATCGAACCCGGGACCTTTCAGTCCCCAAGCCGACGCTCTATCCATTGAGCCAACCCGGTTTCAGCACTTTTTATTTTTATTTTAAAATATATTGTCATTGATTTCAGAAAAGGGAGAGAGAGATAGAAACATCAATGTTGAAAGAGTTGATCGGCCGCCTCCTGCACGCCCAAATGGGGGCTGAGCCAAAAATGTGTCCTGACCAGTAATCTACCTGTTACTTTCTAGTTCATAGGTCAACACTCAATCACTGAGCCGCACTAGCCAGGAAAAGAGGGAAAGGTTCTACTCTGTGCTTTCCCATATAGTAGCTGTTCGTGCCCATGCGCAGCAATGAAAACAAAACTTTAAATCGTATAGACATTTAAACTTAGCCAGCTGCGTGAGGCCCACATTGGACAGTGCGGCTCTAGGTAATCTGGTAAACCTGCTTTACGGTTTGACTCTGGAGTTAACTCAAAGTCTTTTTTAAAACGGGGGGGATTGCTCTTATGACAGCACCAGGTTATCCTTAATCTACAGCTAGAATCCCAAAGGGCTTGCTGGGAATTTAAAAATAGATTAAGAAATTCTGATTTAATTTTCATGTTTCTCTTCTATTCCATAAATGTACCCTCCTTAGGAAAGTGAAGTCCACACTCACAATGTTTTCCCAATAAAAGGAAACAGTATATTTAGTGTCTACACTTACTTACTTAATGAAATCCAACTTACTGTTTCTTTCACTAGCAGTGCAACGACTTCTTGGTCGACCTCATTAGCTTCTTGCCCCCAAAGATGTTCCAAATTGGGCTCCTGAAAGGCTGGGCCTGGCCCATCGTCGTCATCCTCTTCCTCTTCCTCCTCCTCCTCCTCGTCTATTGCTAGCTGCTGGTCTTCCAGCTCTCCCAGAGGGTGGGCGGGCCGAGGAGAGGAGGGGCCGGGAATGCCGTCATAAGGGGGCTCTGGTCTCGGAAAAGCCGGCCTCGGGAAAGCCAGCCCTAGGGGGCCGTGCTGATAGAACAAGGGGCCCAGCTCTGCTTCAGGCTGCAGCTCCCGAGGAACAGCCGGGTTTGCTCTCTCCCGGGGCTGTGGGTTTAGAGACGGGAAGAAAGGAGGGTTTTCTAACCAATGATCGTCTTCGTTGGTCTGATCATCTAGCATATCAGCTGAGTCTCCGAGGTTTGATAAAAGGTCTGTCTCTGAGTCTTCAGATGACTGGTTCTGAGTGTCCAAAGGATCATTATCTGGAATAAGAAGGTCACTTTTTCTCCAGATGAAGATTTTTGGCTCTGATCCGGGGTTGCCAATATCATTTGTTGTTTGGTTATGACTTGGTCCAGGCTTGGGTTCTCTTTCTGTTTGGCCACTTGGATTAATTAATTCAGAAACTCCAGGAGGCCCATGATCCAGAAATTCATCGTAGTCATCCTCAGAATCATCCTGTGCCCCAGAATCAAACAATGTGCTGTTATTCACTGCAAAATAGTTGTTCTTATTTGACTCAAAGGCTGCTCTAGACTTTTTAGGCCTTTCTTCTCCCCAGCTTTTGAGATCTTGCCAATGGGCAGCTGGTTTGATGAGATTAGGTCGTGATGTTTGAGGTTTACTTGTCTAAGAAAAAATGAAATTTTAATAACAATAATTCAATTTCTTTCCTATGTCTATGACCTTTTTATGTACTTATATGCAGCTTCTGAGATAGGACAGGAAAGAGACAAAAACACCTCAACCACAAAACTTATTCTTCATGCTTATGGTAATACTAAAATCTGATCACACTATATTCACTATAAGAATAAAAGCAGTCAAAATCGGTTTGGCTCAGTGGATAGAGCGTCGGCCTGCGGACTGAAGGGTTCCGGGTTCGATTCCGGTCAAGGGCATGTACCTGGGTTGTGGGCACATCCCCAGTGGGGTGTGTGCAAGAGGCAGCTGATCGATGATTCTCTCATCGATGTTTCTAACTCTCTGTCCCTCTTTCTTCCTCTCTGTAATAAATCAATAAAAAACATATTTAAAAAAATGTAACCCTGCTCAGTGTGGCTCAATTGATCAAGTGTCGTCCTATGCAACAAAGGATCACTGATTTAAGTCCCTGTCAGGGCATATGCTCAAGTTGTGGGTTCAATCTCTGGTTGGGTTATGCAAGGGAGGCAACCAAGCAATGTATCTCTCTTTTCGATGTTTCTCTTGCTCTCTCTCTCTCTTAAAAAAAATAAATACTATTAAAAATAAATAAATAATGTATATCCTTATGCTCATCATGGGTTAAGTTTAAGAAAACTCACTTCTGTCAGGATGACATCATCATCCAGGTCCTCTTCATCATGTCGCTGAGAAGCTGGGGTGACCGTCATTGGAACTCCTTCTTCATCAGAGTCATCAGATATGGTGATGGGTCCATCTCTGAGATGGATCCAGTCTAAAAACAGGCAGAAAATACTGTTACCAGCAGGTGGGCACAATCACATTCTGTTCTTTAGATTTCAGTTTGGGGATGCAAAAGGCCAAGTCTGAAGCCAAGTTTGTGGCTGGTGGTATCTCAAGTGACACAAATACCTAAGCATTAAGAGTCATGTTTCAAAAAAAAAAAAAAGCCGTTTCCATGCTAATCTTTGGCAATAATACATTTTGGGAACCACTTGAGAAAATCTGACAATTCCTTATGCTCAAGATTATCAACTTTTTCTTATACTAGGCTGGAAAAATCTTTGATGAATCTGTCAATTTCTTAAAATTGAAGTCTCGACAGCACCTCATCAGGCACCATGGCCGTTCCCCTCCCTAGACGCTCCACAGGAAGAAGGGACATAAAAGTGGCTGCAGGTGGCTCTCGACAACCAGCGTGAATATCAGTGGGACGGATGTGAATCCCAGGCTGGTAAGGGCGTCCTACCGCCTGACTGGAGAGCCAATCACATCCCCCAACCCCAACTCCCAGGACCCCACTGGTGCACAAATTTGTGCACTGGGACTCTAGTATAACCTATATTATTGTTATTTTTTAATATATATTTTATTGATTTTGTACAGAGAGGAAGGGAGATAGAGAGTCAGAAACATCGATGAGAGTCATCGATCAGCTGCCTCTTGCACACCCCCTACTGGGGATATGCCCGCAACCAAGGATATGCCTTTAACCGGAATCGAATCTGGGACCCTTCAGTCCCCAAGCCAACGCTCTATCCATTGAGCCAAACCGGTTTCGGCTAACCTATATTATTTCAATCCTCTGAAACTTGAAATTTGTTTTGTGGCTCAAAATATGGTCAATTTTGGTAAACACACTGGGTCTATTTCATACATGTCTATTGTGTCAAGTTTGTTTATCATGTTTTTCCAATATTCTACATTCATATACGTAATTTTTGTGTGTGCTGGGCTCTCTCCCAGTTATTTAAAGAAACATGTTAAAATCTCCCATTATGAGTGTGGATTAGTTCATTTCTTCTAGTTCTGTCAGTTTCTGCTTTGTATATTTTGACACCATGTTACTAAGTGTGTAGGGATTAGAATTGTTTTATCTTCCGAGTGCACTGACTTTATCATTATGCAATCTTATTAATACTCCTGGCTGCAATGTCTATTTTACTTGATAATATACAGACATACCAGTTCTTCTTTATTTTTTTAAGCTACTCTCTGCATAATGTATCTTTCATTCCTGTAGTTTTAAACTCTGTTTTACCTTCATATTAAACCTATTTTCAGTAGATTTAGAATTCTAGGTGATTATTATTCACCAATTAAAAAGGATTGAATTACTTACACATGTAACACGTGAATAAAATTCACCTCAAAATAAATTATGTTGGGCAGAATAACTCAAGCACAAAAAGTACATGCCACTTTTCTCAAACTCCAACTTCTTAAGATCAAAGGACTATATGCTCACAATTCTTTCTTTTTTTTTAATTGAGTTTTTACAGAGAGAAAGCGAGAGGGATAGAAAGCTAGAAACACTGATGAGAGAGAATCATGGTTCAGCTACCTCTTGCACACCCCCTACTGGGGATGTGCCCGCAACCAAGGAACATGCCCTTGACCGGAATCGAACCTGGGACCTTTCAGTCCAAAGGCCGATGCTCTATCCACTGAGCCAAACCGGTTTCAGCCGTAATTCTTTTTAGACTGTGAATTCATAGCTTATCAATCTACTTTTGATGTAAGCTTCTTAAACTTAAGTCATGCCATTAGGTATCACCATCTGACACAAAATTCTAGTTTGATACATCCATTTACACCTGATATTCTAAAACCTAAAAATGAGACATCTCTGGATTCTGCATGGTGCAAAACAGGTTCATTTTAAAGAAGATATAACTGTAGTACTAAGGGGGAAATGGTGAAAAGGAGAAAGTGAGAACCAACACTTACCTTGTCCCTGGTGGCAGTGAAAGCTGTTCAAGTGAATTACCTCTTCATTATTATTTCCCTCTGCCATTTTCAAATGTGGACATACACATTGGCTTGCTAATATCTAAACATGGTGACTATCTGTTCCAAAGGGACTGAAAAAGATGAAAAAAAAAAAAAGAACATTAAGAATGAGGGAAGTATCAAAACTCTTCCCATGTATCTGGTGAACACGCCACAAAAAACAACAACCAACAAACCCTAAATCAGGGGTCTTCAAACTACGGCCCGTGGGCCACATGTGGCCCGCAGAGGAGTCTGATCCGGCCCGCCAGGTTTTTTGGGCAGTGAGCGCAGCTGAGGCGTTACAGTAGGAATTAGTAGTTCATATAGTCCGGCCCTCCAGCTCTCTGAGGGACCGTGATCTGGCCCCCACTTTAAAAAGTTTGAGGACTCCTGCAAATGAATACATGATTAAAAAGCTAATAAAAGAGAAAATAATCCTATATAATAATAGGCTAACATGCAACTTTGACCAAATGGCAGAACGACCAGTTGCTATGACACACACTGACCACAAGGAGGCAGACACTCAATGCAGGAGCTGCCCCCTGGTGGTCAGTGTGAAACAGGGCTCACTGCTTGCGAGTGCAATGGAGGAGGCAGAATCCTCTCCTGCCTCAGCAGCAGCTCGCCCCCCATGGGGAGCAGACCTAAGCCGGCAGTCTCCTGGACTGTGAGAAGGCACAGGCTGGGCTGAGGTACTTCCAAACCAGTTTTGGCAAAACTTATATTATTAATGTAACTCTAATAAATCCAATTTAAAAAGAACAAACAAAACACACGCACAGATCCGAATAGAATGCAGTTACCAGTTGGGAAGGGAGCTAGAGGGAGGATAAGGAGGGCAAAGGGGGTCAAATATATGGTGACAAAAGGAGACTAGACCTTAGGGAGTGAGCACACAATGGAGTACACAGATGTTTATAAAGTTGAACACCTGAAACTTATATAATAGTATTAATCAATTTTACCCAAATAGATTTAATAAGAATTAAAAGTATAATAAAAATACAGTTTCTTCTCATTCTTCTATTTGTGTTACTTTCCATTTTTCCTTCCAATGCACATTCCTAGAGTTTTGTAGTGTTCCTGCTTTCCATAATAATCTCCATAAATATGCCTGTCACTGCTGTAGACACTGATTTGGAGGTAATAAAAGATATTTCAAATGTATTTAATCAATCTCTGAACATTCCAGGGAAAGTTGGGCAAAGCAGAGTCAAGTACAGGCTGGGAGAAGCTGACATGCTCATCATACCAACCCCACACAATGCCTCCTCCTAACATATTTTTCAAGTGTCTATAAATGAATTTTGCTCTTCATTCAAATCCTAGCTTCTTAATCAGTATTTGGATATCCATTCTTCCTAAGCCTGTACTAACATTTAATCATTATTAAATCAACACAACAAAAGTTAATAATGGCCGGGACCGGTTTGGCTCAGTGGATAGAGCGTCGGCCTGCAGACTGAAGGGTCCAGGATTCGATTCTGGTCAAGGGCATGTACCTTGGTTGCGGGCACATTCCCAGTAGGGGGTGTGCAAGAGGCAGCTGATCAATGATTCGCTCTCATGGATGTTTCTAACTCTCTATCCCTCTCTCTTCCTCTCTGTGAAAAATCAATAAAACATATTTTTTTTAAAAAAGTTAATAATGGCTATTTCTAAGTAATAATTTTAAGGTAGTTTATTTTTTGCTTCCTTATACTTTGATTTTTCTACACTAAATTGGTTATTATTTACAATAACACTTAAAATTAAAATATGGTAAAAGAATTCATTTAAACAAATATTTATTGTGGGCCTGCCACATGATGTAAATAATGTGTTGTACATCATGGTGAATAAATATCAAAAAATACAACATGGATCCTGCCTCAAAGAACTTGAGAATCTTTTCCATGAGAAAATCGTAACCTATCCTATATAATAAAAACCCAGCGACTGAACAGTAGGACACCCGGTTGACCAGTGGTATGACACACACTGACCACCACAGGCAGATGCTCAACACAGGAGCTGCCCCCTGGTGGTCAGTGCGCTCCCACAATGAGAGGGCTGCTCCGCTGACCAGGATGAGCGGCTGCACCCGCAGTGGACCGATCCCCGCACTCCCTACCAGTACATGAAGTCCGTGCACTGGGCCTCTAATATGCATATAACTAGCTACACTAAAAAGTACAAAGCCATTAGCAAAATAAAAAGACTATTCCAATTGGGAAGGGCAGGCAGTCAGGAAATGCTTAGCGGAGATAGCAGTATTAAGCTAACTTGAACGTTGTGCCAGCTCCAGGCTTAGCCTGTAGAGGACGCAGCAGCTTCCATCTTGGGCTCTTGAAGCCCAGAGTCACTTTGTGGGAAGCCCTGACACGACATGGAGAGGGAAAGCCCAGGGAACCCAGTCTTCCCGCAGTCGCTGACAAGGCGAGAGAGCGAAGAAGCCATTTGGGAGTGGGTCCTCCAGCCCCAGCCACCTTAACAGCAAGTGGATGAGAAAAAAGCATGGCCCAGGTGAGCACTCCCAATCTCCTGGCAGACGAAACTGTTAACAAATCGTTGTACTGAGTCACTAAGTTTGGGGGTGGTTTGCTAGGCGTCAATAACTAACTAAAGCTCAAATTTTAGTATCTAAGCAATGGAGAGTTGTGCTTTAAGAAAATCAACCTAGCCCTAAGCGATTTGGTTCATTGGATAGAACATCGGCCTGCGGACTGAAGGGTCCCAGGTTCGATTCTGGTCAAGGGCATGTACCTTGGTTGCGGGCACATCCCCAGAGGGGGGTGTGCAAGAGGCAGCTGATCGATGATTCTCTCTCATCAATGTTTCTAACTCTCTACCCCTCTCTTCCTCTCTGTAAAAAATCAATATATATTTTTTTTAAAAAAGAAAGAAAAAGGCAGGTGATGAATTCAGAATAAGAAAATTCAATGCATGGTATTTTTAACACACAGACAAAAATGAAAGATCTAAGGTAGAATACTATCTATAATTACATATATAATTATGCAAACAATTAGTATCGAGTTTAAGCAGAGTTTTAAAAAGCTCTAAAAATCCTGTAATCAGTATCTTTCTACAATAGAAGTTTTAATAAAAAAATTAAATTAAAAATCTTCATTGGGGAGGAGAAACCAAGATGGCGGCATAGATAAATACCTAAACTGCTGCCTCACACAACAATTTCAAAACTACAACTAAAAGACAAAACGAACATCATCCAGAACCACAGGTAGGCTGGCTGAGTGGAAATTCTACAACTAGAAGGAAAGAGAAAAGCACACTGAGACTCAGAGGAGCTGCGGAAGGCAGAGGTAGGGAAGCACTCTTGCGGAGAGGGCTGGCTTTCTCAATTGGGAGGGAGACAAAAGCTCCCAACTGCTCTGAACTCCAGTTCTGGACGAGACTCCGGGGACCCACTCACACGGGAGAAACTGGACTGTCTGGCATCGGGTGAAACTCGAGAGCGGCTTTCCCTCAGAGGTGCTTGCAACAATTACCATGGGACACTGAGATCCAGGGACCTCTTAGGACAAGGCTGATGGGAAGCCATTGCTGTTTGCTCAGCCCTGAGACTCCGCCCCATCCAAGCTGAATGCAGGGGCTTTTGCATATGAATGCCCTGGTCCTTTGAATTCTAAACTTACCTAACAAACTGCAGCTGAGTCAGTGAGACCAAGAACATCCAAAAGAAGGCCCAAGGCCCCACAGCAGCTTGCACTGCTTCACAGCTGGGGCCTCATCTGGCCCCCTCCAAAACCCAAACAAAGAAGAATCTGTAGATCTCTGTAGCTCCTGCTGGGTGGCCTCAGGCAGAGGCTATATTAGCAACCTCCTTGGAGATCCAAGAGCCAGTGTACCCAGGGGTCAGCGTGGGACCATCCAGATTACAACTCCTCAGATCCATAAGGGACACACTCGGGGGGCAGACTCAGTGAGCAGCAAAGTCCCACTAAAGCAAGTCTTATCTCATAAGGGTGTCTCCAGCATGGAAGATCTCCCATCATAGACACAGCTGAACCTCACAGCTAATTGGCCTGGAGATCAACTCCTCCCAGTGATACCAACAACTGTTATCAAGGCTTAACTACAAGACTGTGCACACAGCCCACAGAGGTGCACCGAGTGTCCACCGCAGAGTTCTCGCGAGAACGCCGCCGGAAGTGGGTGGCAGCCGAGACGCAGGGGCTTTCCTCACCGGAAGGCGAGCGGTTGGCGGAGCTGCTGCAGCGTTTGCTCCTCCCCCCGCGGCAGCGCTCACCCCGCCGGGCCTTGCCAACCGGGCCTTGCCAACCCCGGCCCGCTCTCGGCCTCCCTGCCTGCTCCGCCGCACGGCCCAGCCTGCCTGCCGAGCCCTCCGAACGTCCGGCCCTCCCTCCCTCCGCGCTGCAGCGAGGCCCAGTCCGCGGCCCAGTCCGCGGCCGGCCCAGCGGGTGATGCCCAATTCGGCCATGAAGAAAAAGGTGCTGTTGATGGGGAAGAGCGGGTCGGGAAGACCAGCATGAGGTCGATCATCTTTGCGAATTACATCGCTCGCGACACCCAGCGCCTGGGCGCCACCATTGATGTGCAGCACTCCCAAGTCGGATTCCTGGGCAACCTGGTGCTGAACTGGGACTGCGGCGGCCAGGACACCTTCATGGAGAATTACTTCACCAGCCAGCGGGACAACATCTTCCGCAACGTCGAGTTGCTCATCTACGTGTTTGATGTGGAGAGCCGCGAGCTGGAAAAGGACATGCATTACTACCAGTCGTGCCTGGAGGCCATCCTTCAGAACACTCCGGACGCCAAAATCTTCTGCCTGGTGCACAAGATGGATCTGGTGCAGGAGGACCAGCGTGACCTGATTTTTAAAGAGCGAGAGGAAGACCTGAGGCGTCTGTCCCGCCCGCTGGAGTGCGCCTGTTTTCGAACATCCATCTGGGATGAAACGCCCTACAAGGCCTGGTCCAGTACTGTCTACCAGCTGATCCCCAATGTCCAGCAGCTGGAGATGAACCTAAGGAATTTTGCCCAGATCATTGAGGCCAATGAAGTTCTGCTGTTCGAGAGAGCCACGTTCCTGGTCATCTCCCACTACTAGTGCAAGGAGCAGCACGACGAGAAGATCAGCAACATCATCAAGCAGTTCAAGCTGAGCTGCAGTAAGCTGGCCGCTTCTTTCCAGAGCATGGAAGTTAGAAATTCCAACTTCACTGCTTTCATCAACATCTTCGCGTCTAACACGTACGTGATGGTGGTGATGTCGGATCCGCCGATCCCGTCCGCAGCTACTCTGATCAACATTCGCAACGCCAGGAAACACTTTGAGAAGCTGGAGAGAGTGATGGTCCCAAGCACAGCCTCCTTATGCGTCGAATGTTGCCAAATGCCCTTTCTGAAAATGCTGAATTGCCTTCCGTCTCCCCCGCCCCTCCCGCATCCTTTTAGTATTCATAATGTGGTGTGCTTAAAAGTGGGCTTTGATTGTGTGCTGCTTACTACTTCCATCTCTTCCCTACTCCCCATGCTTTAAAAAAAAAAAAAAAAAAGTGTCCACCTCAGATAACTGGGTAGGCTGAGCCACTGGGCCTGCCCCTCACAGTCCGGGAGCTTTCAGGGGTGGGAGGTGACCTGGTGATCAGAGGAAGGCGACACCCCATCACACCTCTGCTGCTGCCCGTGCTGGCAGCACAAGCCTTAGCCGGCCCTGGTTATCTGCACCTGGGGTGGCCTTGGGTGACTAGACCCGATAGAACACCTAGCACATAAAGCCACTGTATCAACTCAGGGAAGCAGCCAAAATGCAGAGACAAAAGGTCAGAAATGGAGGAAAGCAAATGATTGGATATAGAGTTCAAAACCTATATAAGGGAGCTTTTCTTTTCCCTCTTCTTCACCAGCTAGCTCCTTCAGGCCTAAGCTCGAGCTAGCTGCCCACCGGCCTGGCATCGCTTTCACTATGGCCCTCAGTGATGCTGACGTGCAAAAGCAGAGAGGAAAGGAGAGGGAGAGAGAGAGAGAAACATCAGTGATGAGAAAGAATTATTGATTGGCTGCCCCCAACTGGGGATTGAGCCTGAAACCTGGGCATGTGCCCTTGACCAGAGTTGAACCTGGGACCCTTCAGTCTGCAGGCTGATGCTCAGTCTACTGAGCCAAACCAGATTAAGCATATGATGGCTTTTATTGAACAAGAAGCCAATGAAAAAGCAGAGGAAATAGATGCAAAAGCAGAAGAGTTCAACATTGAGAAAGGTCGTCTTGTACAAACCCAAAGACTGAAGATTATGAAATACTATGAGAAGAAAGAAAAGCAGATAGAGCAGCAGAAAAAAGTTCAGATGTCCAATATGATGAATCAAGCAAGACTCAAAAGTTCTCAGAGCGAGAGATGATCTTATTACAGACCTACTAAATGAAGCAAAACAGAGACTCGGCAAGGTGGAAAAAGATACAACTAGATACCAAGTGCTGCTGGATGGACTGGTCCTCCAGGGTTTGTACCAGTTATTGGAGCCCCGGATGATTGTTTGTTGCCAGAAACAGGATTTCCCTCTGGTAAAGGCTGCAGTACAAAAAGCAATTCCTATGTACAAAATCGCCACCAATAAAGATGTTGATGACCAAATTGATCAGGAGGTCTACTTACCTGAGGAAATAGCTGGTGGAGTTGAGATCTATAATGGGGATCGTAAAATAAATATTTCCAATACCCTAGAAAGCCGACTGGATCTCATAGCTCAGCAGATGATGCCAGAAGTACGAGGAGCCTTGTTTGGTGCAAATGCCAACAGGAAGTTTTTGGACCTAAGCCTTTGGGAAATGGAATTCCTGCACTGTAATGATGTAAAAGTTTCTGATATCTGAACAAACAAAATGATCTATGTAGCTTTTTCTTTGCTATTCTAATACACTATATTTACTCGTGGATATCCTTCTATACTAATGCCCTTAGCCTAATTGTTAACAATGGGAGAAAGTTTCATTTAATATTATCAGGAAGCCTACCTCTAGCTTATCTAAAAGTAACACAACTTTCAGTTGGTTCTGCAGCATGAAGGTGAAGAAATCAGGTGGTGGTTGCATGGACTGTACCCAAACTTGTGTTCTTCCTCTGCTTCTGGTTTCTAGTCTATAAGTTATGTGTATGTGTGCTCTGCTGGTAACTCTCTGCTCTTTAAGCTTAGAGGGGCATGCACTCCTTCTAGCAGTAGTAGCTTCACTGTTACCTGTTTGGGCTTTGAAATGCTTCTTATCTGTAAATGCGATTTCAAATCTAAGCCATGATGCTTTATTAATTAAAACAAAAAATGTGCCGAAACCAGTTTGGCCCAGTGGATAGAGCATCGGCCTGCGGACTGAAGGGTCCTGGATTCGATTCCGGTCAAGGGCATGTACCTTGGTTGCGGGCACATCCCCAGTAGGGGGTGTGCAAGAGGCAGCTGATCAGTGATTCATCGATGTTTCTAACTCTCTGTCCCTCTCTCTTCCTCTCTGTAAAAAATCAATAAAATATATTTTTTTAAAAAACAAAAAAAAACCTATATAAGGTTTTTCAAGCATTTCCTAGAAAAGGCCAATAAAAGAAATGAGACCTGTGAGGATATGAAAAGAGATCAACTAGAAATAAAGAATACATTGTCTGAAATAAAAAATATTATACAGATTCCTAAAAACAGAATGGAAGATCACAAGAATCAAGCCAAAGATTTGAAATACAACGAAGCAAAAAAACACCCAACCAGAAAAGCAAAAAGAAATAAGAATCCAAAAATATGAAGATAGTGTAAGGAGCCTCTGGAACAACTTCAAGCGTACCAACATCTGAATTATGGGGGTGCCAGAAGATAGTGCAAGATACTGAAAACCTATTTGAAGAAATAATGACAGAAAACTTCCCCCACCTGGTGAAAGAAACAGACTTACAAGTTCAGGAAGTGCACAGAACCCCAAACCAAAGTAATCCAAAAAAGACCACACCAAAACACATCATTATTAAAATGCCAAGAGCAAAAGACAAAGAGAGAATATTAAAAGCAGCAAGAGAAAAAACAGTTACAGCAAGGGAGTGCCCATAGGACTGTCAGCTTTCTCAAAAGAAACTATGCAGGCCAGACTGGAGTGGCAAGAAATATTCAAAGTGATGAATAGCAAGAACCTACAACCAAGATTACTCTACCCCCAGCAAAGCTATCATTCAGAATTGAAGCTCTGATAAAGAGCTTCACAGATAAGGGAAAGCTCAAGTTCATCACCGGCAAACCAGTATTATACAAATGCTGAAAGGTACTCTTTAAGAAGAGGAAGAAGAAAAAGGTAAGATAAAAATTATGAACAATAAATATATATCAACAAGTGAATCTAAAAATTAAGTGAATAAAAAATCTGATACCATGTTTTTGTTACTATTTTACTCTGGTGTTTTACTTTTTGGTTGGATCAAACTTGTGTATTAAATATAATCATATGCTGTTTTAAAAAAAAGTCTGATGAACAGAATAAACTGGTGAATATAATAGAATCAGGGGTGTGGGAGGTGCGGGAAGAGACTGGACAAAAATCGTACACCTATGGATGAAGTCAGTGGGGAGGGGTTAAGGGCTGAGGGTGGGATGGGAACCAGATGGAGGGGAGCTATGGGGGGGGGAACAATTGTAATAATCTGAACAATTAAGATTTATTTTAAAAATATCTTCAATGGGTAGACTAGATATATAACATTAAAATTGCCCTTAAAATTTTTTTTGATGAGACCAGTTTGGCTCAGTGGATAGAGCATCAGCCTGCAGACTGAAAGGTCCCAGGTTCGATTCTGGTCAAGGGCATGTACCTTGGTTGCGGGCACATCCCCATGGGGGGTGTGCAGGAGGTAGCTGGTGGATATTTCTCTTTCATCTGTTTTTAGCTCTCTCTCTCCCTCCCTTCCTCTGTAAAAAATCAATAAAATATATTTAAAAAAATAAAAAAATAAAATTTCCCCTTAACTGTCAACTGAATATTGGTTCAGAAACTAGAATAGTTAAGTAAGCACTTTTTCATCTACAAAGGGTAAAAAAAAAACAATGTTTTCAATGACCTTTTTATAATTGAATCCTCTTGACACCCAGTCTTTTTCCCCCTGCCTACAGATTCTACTCTTGCATGTTTTACTATAGCACTGAGAGTTTGTTTTTAAACCACAAACTCATCACAGTAGAATCAAAATCCTTGCCAAGGCCTGCAAAATGCTGCCTCCTGTGACACCTGCTGACACCGCTGGCCTCACCTCTTCTCCCCATTCACCATCCCGCAGTGAGAATGGCTGTTTCTTGAGCGTGCCATGCTCCTCCTTCACTTCCACCTCTTTTCTCTGGCTGGATCACTCTTCACTGCTTCTTGTTGATCAGATGAACTCTCTCATCCTTCACTTCTTCATCTTAAATGTCACTTCCTCAGAGAAAAGCTTTCCAGACTATCCCCAGTATTCATACACACGTCTCACTTCTTCAAAGGACTTGGCTCACTAATAATCTACAATTATTTAATATCCACTTCCTCTGCTAAAACAAGTTCTAAGAAGTGGGACCTTACATCTTATTTGTTCCCATAGTCCCAGGACATAGCACACTGACAGACACAAATTAAATACTCCATAAGAGCCTTTTGAGTAAATATTCACGGGTATAGCAGGATAATTAGGAGCATGAACTCTGGAATTAAACTGAGTTCAAATTCTAGTCAGACACTTGTAAGCTTTGTGATTAGGTAAGTTGTTTTTCAGCACCTTCATTTTCTTTCTTTTAAAAATAAGAATAACAAAACCCACGTCATTGAGGAGTAAGAGTTACTATATGGAAACCACTTAGAACAATATCTGGCACATAGCTTCATGGTTTGTCCTATTATGACTAGCAAGGGGGATAAGGTAACATGGTTAGGGCCCTAGGCAGTTTGGCTCAGTTGACAAGAGAGTCAGCCAGGGGACCAAAGGGCCATACCAAGATTGCAGGCCCGGGCCTGGGCCCCAATTGGCTACATGCAGGAGGAAACCAATCAATGTGTTACTTTCACACTGATATTTCTCTTTCCCTCCCTCTTCCACTCTGTAAAAAGTCAATGGGAAAAGCATTCCCCAGTGAGGATTGGATTAACAACACAGAAACGCCGTCAGGGCCTGGCTGCTGTGCTCAGTGGCCGAGTGTCGACCACAAGCCGGGAATTCGGGCTCCATCCTGGGGCAGGGAACACAGGAGGCAGCCGATCAACGATTCTCTCTCTCTCCATCTCCCTTTCTCTCTGAAATCAATAAAAGTATATTTTTAAAAAAATAACATGGTTAGGTGTGAAATTACTTATGACGTCTCTGAAGTCTTAACAGAATATAGTAAGCACTATAAAATAGCAGCCAGCGGCCTGATGGGTGGCTGGGTTGGTTGGAGCTTGTGACATACACCAAAGGGTTTGTTTCCATCAGGGCACATTTTAGCCTCCGGTTTTGATCCTGGGTCTGGCAAGAACCGGTGCCAACCAATCCATGTTCCTCTTTCACACAGATGCTTCTCCCTCTGTCTCCCTCCTTTTTCTCCATTTTAATGAACACATCCTCCGGTGAGGATTAAGGGGAAAACATTAGCTGCTCTGGGCGGTGTGGCTCAGTTGGGGGGTTGCCAGTTCAATTCCCTGTCAGGACACAGGCCCGCTTCGGGCTGGATCACTGGTGCAGGCGGCAGAATATCAACGTTTCTCTCACACATATCTCTCTCTCCCTCAAAATCAATAAAAATGTTTGTGGGGTTTTTTTTTAGATATATATATTTTATTGATTTTGTACGGAGAGGAAGGGAGACAGAGAGTTAGAAACATCCATGAGAGAGTCATCAATCAGCTGCCTCTTGCACACCCCCTACTGGGGATGTGCCGCAACCAAGGTACATGCCCTTGACTGGAATCGAACCCGGGACCCTTCAGTCCGCAGGCCGACGCTCTATCCACTGACCCAAACCGGTTTCGGCTTTGGGTTTTTGTTTTTTGTTTTTTAATAGCGGCTATCAGCAAACACAGATGCTCTCACATATCCTACTTCATAAACTTTCATTCTCCCCGACTCACATCAACTTCCTTTACCCGATTTCTCCATCGGGCTGAAGCCTCCGTGTAGGTTGTACAGGCGGGCCCGGTCCGGCCCGGCTCTCCAGCGCTTCCTCACACCCAGCACTGCCCGCCCCCGGCCCTCCCCGAGGACATGGCCATCTCTGCACGGATCGCAGCACAAACAGGGCGAGGCCGGCCGGCGGGTCCTCCGCGGACAGGGTGCTCCAGGCGGAGGCTGGCCCGCCCTCCCCGCTGGCCCCGCGCCTGGGCCGGGCCGGGCCAGGCCCCCGCGCTCCCGGCCCCGCGGGCCGAGCTTTCCCCGCGGCCCTGGAAGCCCGGCGGCCCCGCAGGCGCTCGGCGCGGCGGACACGAGGCTGAAGGGGCCGAAGTTGGGCGCCGGTTGCCCGGGACGGCGGCCACGTCCGGCGGGCGCCCCGCTCCGGCCCCGCGCCCCGCGCCCCGCGCTGCAGGCGCGTCCGTAGGGGGCGCCCCTCGGCGGCGGGCGCCCGGGGTCCGCCCCGGCTGCGGGGGGACACATCCCTCCAGCGCGGGGTGCGCGGCGGCGGCCCCGAAGTTCCCTCACGGGGCTCGCCCCCGCCCCAGGCCGCGCTCGGCTCCACGGACGCCGCCCCCCGCGAGGTCGCCCAGGAAGTCGGACTTTCGGCGCCTTCGCCCTCCGCCGCGGGCCGACGGGCCGCCGCCAAACTTCCCGAAGTGACGGCGGGGGCCCGGCCGCGTGCGCCTTTGTGGCTCCCGCCTCACGGCCGCCCGGCTGCCCGCGCCCCCGCCGCCGAGGTCCCCGCCGCCCCCGCGCCGGGGAGGCGCCGCGCGGACACGCACTCCCCCAGGAGCCCGCGCAGGAGCAGCGCCCGCGGCCGCCACTCACCCGCCACTCCGCTCCCCGGGCCCGCGAGGCGGCTGGGAGCCCCGGCGCCGGCGCCCAGTCACCGAAGCCGCAGCCGGCAGCTCCGTCGCGGCCGCGGAGGCACCGCCGCGCTCCTTCCGGCCCCGCCGCGGCGTCAGCGCGCGCCTGCGCACAGCGCCCCCTCCCGACGCCGACAGGAAGAACCATAGAGGCCGGGCGGGGCGGGGCGAGGGGCTGGGGAGGGACCATAGAGAGGCCGCCCGCCCGCCGCTCCGCCCGCTCTCCGCCCACCGAGCCTTGACTCCCCCTCGAGGCGGGAGGACGGAACGAACCGAGACTCCCCCAACCCCGGGAGGCGTTGCTGGCGCCCTGGGGTTGGAAAGGGCGGGGGCAGGTGGCCCTGGAAGTCTTCCTGCTGCGCACCTATGTCCACTTGCCTCCTTTGCAACTCATTCATTCATTCATTCCACACGTGTCATTCATTCATTCCGCACGTGTCAGTCATTCATTCCACGCGGAGGGCTCCCTGTGCGCCAGGCCCTGTGCCAGGCACTGGGGAGACAAAAGTATCCATGGAGGTGCCTGTTCTAATGAAGCTTATGTTTTAGCGGGCACGTCTGTAACTAACTTGTGAATCAACTTGTGAGCTAACTAAAACATTGGCCCAGACAAGAAGTGTTCAGGAAAAACAAAAAGTGCAGAAAGGAATGGAGAGTGATGGGGATAGCAGGGTGGTCAGGGAAAGTGTCTTCTGGGGTTGGGGGGTGGGGGGCATGGAGCAGAAAACTGAAAGAAGTTAGGGGTCAGCCAAGGTGACCTCCGGAGGGAAGACAGCTCAAGCAGACGGTATGGAAAAGGCAGAGGCTCCGGAATGGGAACGCGCCTGGTGGCTGAGGACACAGCAAGGCTGCAGCGCAGGCAGAGATGCGTGGTGACAAGGCATGGGCTTGGCGAGGTGGCAGGGGCCCAAACCTTAGATTTCATTCTAAGTGGGACGGAAGCTACTAGACGCAGGGGTCCTCAAACTTTTTAAAGTGGGGCCAGATCACGGTCCCTCAGAGAGCTGGAGGGCCGGACTATATAAACTACTAATTCCTACTGTAACACCTCGGCTGCGCTCACTGCCCAAAAAACCTGGCGGGCCGGATCAGACTCCTCTGCGGGCCGCATGTGGCCCGCGGGCCGTAGTTTGAAGACGCCTGTAAGAGGATTGGAAGCAGGGGCATAGCTATTCTGCTTACATTTTGCAAAGATCACTCTGGTTACTCAGCAGCGTTTCCCAAAGTGTGGTACGCGTACCCCTAGGAGTACAGAAGAGTTTGGTGGGGGTACGCGTTGCCGGAGTTTGATGGGGATATGCACTGCACCGTGCTTAGCTGCGCCTAATTCTACGTTGTCATGAGTACGAGGGGTACTCAGCGTTACGAAAATTATAGAAGGGGTACACATATGTCAGAAGTTTGGGAAACACTGGTTTAGAGAACAGACGAAGAGGTCAAGTCAGTAGTGGGGAAGCCACTTAGGAATCAATGGCAGGAGTCTATTAGGAAGTGAGGGTGATTCAGACTAGTATGGTCAGGGAGGAGGCGGTGAGAGAAAACCAGATTAGGATATTGTTTAAAGGTCGAACAGAGAGCTTCCCAGATGGATTGGATGTGGGTGAGGAAGGAAGGAGTCAAGGATAGCCACCAGTTTTTTGGCTTGTGCAAGGGGGTAAATGGTGGTTCCGTTCACAAAATATGGGGGGAAATGAAGAGGAAGAGGTTTGGGTCAGAGGGGGGAGAAGTGAACTCATTTCGGACATATCCAATCGCCGACAAACCTGTCCCGGCCCTCGGGACAACAACGGGGGCACGCAGGAACCACCTAAGAGAATGAAACAAACAAGGAACGCGAAAGAATGAAGGCAAGACAAGGTTCTGATCAAGCCTCAGTTTTATTCTCTGAAATGGCTGTATTTATACAGCAGAGACAAAGGGGGGCAGGGCCGCTTATGCAGGGGGGGGTCTTTGGTATCTGGCAACACAGGATTGACTAATTGCCAGAGGCGGTGTGACATTCCAAGGTGCAACATTCCAAGGCTGGGCTATCTAGGGGGGAGGATCAGGAAGGGGAAGAGGCAGGAAGACAGGAGATGCTAAGCCCCAGGTTAATCTTATCTTCTGGCCAAGCCCTCAGGGCACCACACAACCTCTGCTAGAAGGAACTTAATTCTATTTCCTTAAGACTGAGTTGCTACAGTGTCACGTGGCGGCTTTAGGTCTGCTCTGACCTGCCTCAGTGTGACAGCAAGAAGCAAGGCTGGTCAACAGCAGGTCCTAGGCCTGCCTCTCTGGTAGGTAGGGTTGCAGAGGGTTTAACCAGTTAACTACTACGTGTCCAAAACGGCAACCATCCCCACACGCCATGATATTTTGAGTTTAATTAAAAAATCAGTTTGCAATGAATATTGTAAAAATAAAAAAATAAAAAAAAATAAAAAGACTGAGTTGCTTGCCTCAACTCTGCTGGCTCCCAACACAAACCAACAGTTGGGATTTCAATAGGCAATTGCAGTCGTGCATCACTGAAACGGGGAATCATCTGAGAAATGCCTCTTTAGGCAATTATTGTGCCAACATCACATAGTACACTGGCCACACCTGGATGGTTCAGCCCACTTCACGTTAGGCTGTGCGGTATAGTGCCTACTGCTCCTACACTACAAGCCTATACAGCATGCTCCGTTCTGAAGACTGTAGGCAATTATTCCACAACTAGTGGCCCGGTGCACAAAATTTGTGCACATTAAAAGGGGATTAGTTGTCAAAACCGGTTTGGCTCAGTGGATAGAGCATCAGCCTGCGGACTGAAAAGTCCCAGGTTCAATTCTGGTCAAGGGCATGTACATTGGTTGGGGGCACATCCCCAGTAGGGGGTGTGCAGGAGGCAGCTGGTGGATGTTTCTCTCTCATCGATGTTTCTAGCTTTCTGTATCTCACCCTTCCTCTCTGTAAAAAATCAAAAAAATATATATTAAAAAAATAAAAATAAATAAATAAAAGGGGATTAATTAGAGGAAATAATTTAATATTGCTATTTGCCCTTTCTCTATAATAGAAGTGTGAGAGATGAAAGAAAATTACTAAAATGTATAGGAAAACCTCCCTCTTGTCAGAGTCTGGGGCTCACCACAGGACCCAGAGTCCCTGCTGATTCTCATTGAGGCTCCTTATATAATAGGAACTTGGCCTCAGCTGTGGGTGCAGCCATCTTTGTAAAGGAGTGATGGTCAATTAGCATATTCCGTCTTTATCAGCTAGGATGGCAAGTGTTTATCTACCTGAACGTAGAAAAGCTACAGTAAAAACGCAGAGGAAAAGGTTTTAAAAGGCTCACCTGTGCAGGGCACTGCTGATCCTGCTCCATCATGTCAGGAGGCCACAGAAGAGCCGTGCCCGCCCTCTCACTGAGCCACAAAGCAGCAGAGCTTTTCCCAAATGTCAGACATTTGAGCAGTTTTATCACAATATTTCCCTAATCCACTTACTACCCATTAGTAATATTTTTTTTAGAGTAATTCTTTTTTTTTAATGTATTTATTTAAATATAAAAAGGTTGAACCTGATGGAGGGGGAAGAAATGAGGAACCTTTGTAATAATATGAACAATAAAGATTGATAAAAATAAATAAATAATAAATAAATAAATATAAAAAGGTTGACTTTCTTCAGAGAAGAAGGGAGAGGAATAGAGAGTTAGAAATATGGATCAGCTGCCTCCTGCACACCTCCTACTGGGAATGTGCCCGCAACCAAGGTAATGCCTTGACCAGAATCGAACCTGGGACCCTTCATTTCACAGGCCGACGCTCTGTCCTCTGAGCCAAACTGGTTTCTAAAAGTGCTCTTTTCCTAGTGGAGGTTGACTCCTCTGCCCTCCCCTCTGGTTTCCGTTTCTTCTCTTTTCTACAGGGTCCCTCTTGCATCACTGACCCTCTGTCTCTCCTGAATATTAAAAATGTCCCACTCAGCCGAAGCTGGTTTGGCTCAGTGGTAGAGCGTCGGTCTGCGGACTGAAAGGTCCTGGGTTCAATTCCGGTCAAGGGCATGTACATTGGTTGCTGGCACATCCTTGGTAGGGGATGTGCAAGAGGCAGCTGGCCGATGTTTCTCTCATCGACATTTCTAGCTCTCTATCTCTCTCCCTTTCTCTCTGTTAAAAATCAATAAAATATATTTTGTTAAAAATAATTTAAAAAAAAAAAAGTCCCACTCAGTTAGGTCCTTCCCTCAGCATATTCATACTTGGAACTATTTCCCCTCTTTACACACACACACACACACACACACACACACACACACCCTTCAGTTCTGGATCCCACTCTAGCTCTAGTTCCAAATGCCACCCTCCCTTTGCCGTACATCTTCCTAAAAACATAACCCTCCTCATTGCTCTCACTTCCCAACCCCCATTAGCTTCTCCGCCCCAGAGACCTAGGTGGCCCTCACAAACCTGGCGCCTCCTTACCCGGGTGTGTGTGTGTGTGTGTGTGTGTGTGTGTGTGTGGCTGGCCAGTGGGGAGTTGGCTCAGGGCAAGGGCAGGGGTCGGCTGACGGGATGTCAGCTGGCCAGCGGGGTGTCGGCTCAGCTGGAGCCCCCGTGCAGTTCTCCACTCCATGCTCAGTGAGGTCGCACTGGGAGCTTGAAGCAGGCCTTGGGGGGAGCACCTGCGCCATAGGAATCAGCAGATGCTGCACCCCGAGCTCTCCACCCCAGAGAGCCCGCAAAGAGCCCGCAGTCGAACGTCTACCAACGCACCATGAAACCAAGCGGCCTCCGTCACCAGGCAATGCTTTCCCGCCAGCCCTTCCTCTGGTTTCCGGATTACTTTCCCGCCTTGCACCTTGCTGATGTCTGATGTTTTCCTGCTCTGGGTGAATTCTTCCATGTTGGCTTTGGGTAAGGATTGCTCTAACCCTTTTATTTGTTCGTTTATGTTTTTGTTAATCCTCGCCTGAGCAGCCTTCCGTGCGAGGCCAGCGCTCTCACCGCTGGTCACGGCAGCCAGGCAAGGGGACTCCCACCGCCCCACAGCCTTCGGATCGCTATTGCTAGTCAAGCAGGACTTCTGCGGCCGAGATCATTAAAAACGGTCTCCAGCCGAAACCGGTTTGGCTCATTGG